GGCCATGGTGTTCCAGTTATCAGCCCTGCTGAAGGAAAACCACATGCTGGGCATACGGTGCTGCCATCTTGAACATGTGACCTTCAGTCAGGCTACTCAGGGGTTTCTTTCTGGACCCGGACGCTGTGATTCAGTTTGCATGATCACTGCTACCCACCATGGTTTATTTAAGCCAGAGTAAGCCTCAGTGCGTGCTGGGCAGTTTTGGAATATTCAAGCCACGGCTGTGGCTTGTGGTGTCCTCTTGGCCATTGGGTTTGTGAGGGTTGTTTAACCCTCCTACAACCTGTATTTCCCCGGTGCAGGTGCCACAACAAGCTGTGCTTGTGGGCCAAATATTCAAAATGGCCAGCCACACATGCTGCAGTGTGCCATGATTTAAATAAGGCACATTGGGCTGTTTGATCATGTGGACAAGCTGCAAATAAATACCATAGATGATTTATTGTGAATTGACTTACCCACAGTATCTAGGATTGGACATGTCGGAGCGACTCCTGATTGGCCCAGTCAAAGGCTGCATATTTGAAATGAGACAGATATTTACCGCAGCAAATTGTGGATTAATTAATCCATGGTTGCCAACATTATGCATCCCTAACTCCTTGCAATCATCTCCTTGATGCTGAATGAGATTTTGTTCTTCTGTCCTTTTATTTTTTTTGAATGCCACCACTTCTTCCATTTTGTTTCTGGAAATAAACATTCCTGTTGAAATAAGTATTCATTAAACAGAGCTTGTATTTGAATTCATGTTGTCAATGTTTGCACTGCAGATAACTATTGGAGGGCAGAGGGCAGAGAGTTTGGAGGTGATTAATGCTGGAAGTACTTTTATTTCCTCAGTCACTTCCTTGTCATTCCAGAATATTTCAATGAAGGATCAGGCTTATGCAAGGGCATCTACCGGATTTTTGCTCTCTGCAGAACATGCTTGGGAAGTCTTGCTTAGTCACTTTATTCATGCTTGTGTCTCTCAGCCCCTCTCTGAACCATCTTATCTCATGTTGCTTCTTTCTCACCTGGGGTGGCCATTTGTGCAATGCCATAAAAGAGGACAAGAGGAAACTTTTTGCATAAAATGTGTACGTGCAAGTTGATATATGTTTATGAACATGTGGGAAGAATTAATCAGAGATCATAATGCACCATTCCCCTCTCCATGGAGGGGAAGTGTGTTCTAGCCCGTGTGCCTTGTCCAGTCTGCTGTTGAGGAGCTGCTGACAGGCAGCTTCAAGGCCAAGCTGCCCCTGCAGATGGTTCTTTCTCCTAAAATGGACTCGGACTGAATGGTCCTGCAGTTTGAGTACATCCTCTGGTAGCCCTTCAAACAGAGGGCTTCCTCTGCCAAAAGGACACCTGGGTGCCCTCTTCTCACCAGGGAGATGTGATCCTGGATCCCAGCATCTTTACTCCCCTCACCCCCAAATCTGGAACTTGAAAAAGCCCTGTTGGGCTTCCTGAAGGAGGTTGGCAGTGAGAATAAAAGGAAGAAACGTATTTCTTTCTTTAGCAGTTTTGGCATGCCGGGTGCTTTACAATCGCCATTGGTCTTGCAACAGTGCTTTGAAGTCAGGCTGAGAAGGGTAATTTGGTTTAAATGGGATTTTGAACCTTGATTTACAACAGCCAAACCCAGTATTGTTTCCATTGTACTGACACTATCCAGGCCAGTCACTTGAACAAACTAGCAGACTTTGTAACTTGAATAAGTTGGTGGTCCAGCATTTAGTGGTTCCTGAATAATTTTATAATAAAACACAATATGAGGAAATCAACAGGACTGTTATTGTAGGATTTCACAGGTTCTCTTCTGTTAATGGTTCCGGGCTCTTAATCCAGGTTTGGTTATGAGAATTATGGTTGTTGAACTCCTTACTGAAAACTCATATATCTTTTTCCTTTATCCCTGATTTTTGCAATGTTAAAAGAAAAAAAAAATGAGAAGACTGCTTCAAAAATCCACAGCGACAAAATTATAATAAGAGAAGTCTTGAAGGCTTACTTTAGGAAAAATGTTCCCCATATTCCTCAAAGGAATGCCTGAGTCATCTTAAGTGAGGAATTCTACAGAAATGGCCCCACAGGCTAAATACCCTGCTCCTGATGTTCCCAGATGATAATATAGGACTGCAGGATGTAAATCACACAGGTTAAGCTTAAATATAAAGGAATAAGAACAAGTAATTAGTAAATCCTTTCTTTACTCTTGTATGGATAAGATTTTTTTTTGGTTTGATTCTCTTTTGGCCATGCCTCTGCTTGGTGGCATCTTCTGAATTGTTCTCTGCAAACATTAAGGCACAGATGATCGTGTAATCTTCAGAATCAGGTGTTGTCCAGTAGCAATTGCTTCCGGAGATTGCATTTTACATATAATCACCTCTAGCAGTGAACTCAGGTGGTGAGTGAAAAGAGGCCTCGGAGAAGCAAGGAGGGGGTTCGGCATGATCAGGGGAACAACGACAGTTTGCAGAACTGGGGAGGCAGGGCATCTTAAAAAGAAAAAGTCCAGCCGACCAGATGAGCTGTGGAATGGTGTATACTGGCTGGCAATGGAAAGCTGGGATGTGTGATGCACATGTGTGGAATGACCTGTTGGAGTAGGGTGTGGGCGGGCGTGTGGAGCTTTAAACAGGAGCACCCTTATGGGAAGGCAAGAACACGTCTGACTATTATGTTGCAGGACCCACATGTTTAACGATTGCTATACCTAGAGAGCCATACACAGAGTTCCACGTGATCCTTGGGATTTGATAGCCCCTGATGGAGGAGCCTAAAACCAAGTTCTCCAGAAGGAGCATGCAGAGTTGTATCCAAGCTGAAAAGGACAGTAAGAAGTGCTGAAGGCGCAAGAGGGTGGATCTTAGAGGGTGCGGCAGGCATTCCCAGTGCGGCCTGCCTGGATGTCATGGCACCTCCGCATGGCTCCATGGCACCCCCAAAGGCCTGTCACATGTGGGGTGCGTGGGCACTCCGGTTTTTAAAATGTTTCGATTTTATTAGTTCTTAAAATATACGCATATTTCTTTGTATGAAACCCATACAACTTTCCGGCAATTATACAGAGTTTTCAACAAAAATGGTTAAATATCCAAATAAGTACCCATTTGAAGGTGCTGTCTCTGTGCCATCCGTGCTCCAATCGAAAGCATCCTGCGGTCCTCAGTCCACTGCAAGTGAGTGTTTACTCTTCCAAGGTAGTAACAGCAGACTTTGAGCTGGCTGTCAAAGGAGTATAAAGAAGTGTTAGTGTGCATTTGTTAATTTCTATGGAGTAGGCAAATAATTTAAAAGAGCACATTCATTAATGAATACCAGAGGCAGTTCTGTACGAAATTTATCTGTGTGCTTTCTTTTAAAAAAACGTCTGCTGGACATTGTCAAGACACAGGTTTAAAAGAAGCCTTTGCTGTATTGCATAGCTGGCAAGTGGCTGAATTAGGCAATAACTTATTCAAGAACCTTTACCATGTCCAATACACACGGTACAAATGCTTTTGCTGCCTCAGGTAGACAGACATAGCTATGGAAGGCAGCAGAGCACAGTCGCTTGGACATCTCTGATCAGGCACGTGGTGCTGATGCCTACAGCCGTTCCTCAGTTCCTAGATGTGCTCACAGGTCTGGTCCAAAAGGGTCAAGGGCCCCCTGCCTTACCGTATATAACTTGGAGCCAGGGAAGCTGAAGGATTATCTGTTTCTGTAGCACTCTGTGCTTTACATTTTCATCAGGTGCTTTGTTCTAGATGGCTTGCATTTGGAGGCCGGTGATGGGTGATGAAGAAGGCCACCTTGAGTGCCATTTTTTGGTAGAAAAGCAGGCTCAGATCAATAAGGCTCAACATGGGAGTTGTCTTGGTGGGGGTCCCCTGATTATGGAGTGTTCTCCCCGGGGATACTTCTCTGGCTCCCAGTTTATTCTCTCTTGGGTGTCAGGTGGTAGCAATGCTCTCCCCAGCATTTCAGGGATGGTATTTTAAAGAATTCCAAACTTGCATTTGCATTGTTTGTGGCTGTTGCTTGTTTTATAGCTGACTTCTAATGTTTATAAATTGCTGTTTGGTTTTTTTATATTACGTTTTAATTCACTAGACTTTAAATGGTGTTGCATGCTTTGGAAGGTTTCTCTTTAACTGAGAAACAGGATCAAAGTATATTAAAAATATTTTAAATACAAATAAAAAGTAAGCAATCTCTCTTTTTGTTGGCAAATCGAAGACCAGTGAAAAAGATTCTGATTCTGATTCATTCCTGTGCCTGAGGTGCTGCCTTGCCTCCAGCGGCTTTTTCCAGGATCCGTTCCCTACCCACAGTGAAGTGGTACAGCAACCCACTTGCTACAGAGGCTGCAGAAGATTTCAATTTCTGGTTTCCCTACTTCCATTTTTGATGGACATTTTTGGTGCTTAAATGGCAGGAGTATTTTCTCACAGATCCATACTTTCCCCTCCTGGGCTCTTTTCCTTTATGAAAATGTTTGAGGAATGCCAGAACAGTAGGTGGAGTAATAGCCTATTATTGTTGCTTTCCTGAGATTGTTACTGTTGGCCTAGAATACCTTCTTTTCTTTTAATAAGGAGGAAAAGCAAAATAGCAAAGCCTTCCTGATAGAGTAGATAATTTCAGCTGATTCTACTATGGATTGTATTGCAAATTTGTACAACAAAGTATTTTACATATGAGTGCTATAGATATCAGTAAAGGATTTCTTAACATATTCTACCGTCTGTCTCAGGCACAGGTTGGCCGTTATATTTGTTCCATTTATAGTTGTATAAATACAGTTATATTTCTTCCATTTCCCTAGCTGCTCTCGTTTGGCAATGTTTAGTTATGTGCAGGTGTCATCTTGCGTAGCTTTACATCTGTGCATTTTCTGCTTCTTAACTTAGGTCCCTATTAGCCATCGTCACTTGGAAGAATAGTCGGGGGACGGAAAGATGGGATTTGCAAATGTCAACTTGTGATTAAATCTCCTGTCCTCTGTTTCTCCGCAGCTGAGGAGGTGGATCAGCCATCCCTCGACACCGGAATGGGAGCTGATCTGGAATCTGGTGACACAACCCCTCCCTCCAAGAGAAAAAGCAAGTTTGCAGGTTTTGGCAAGATCTTTAAACCTTGGAAGTGGAGAAAAAAGAAAACCAGTAGCAAGTTTAAGGAGACTTCGGAAGGTAACCCTCTGGGATTCTGCCATCATTCTCTTCTTTCCACGCCCATGATGGTTTTTTGTTTTGGAATGGCATTGTTCTTGTCCGATTCCACCTTTCTTGCTGCTATAGTAAAGCTAGCCAAATTGGCACATCTCAAATCTGAATTAAAATAATGATGATTATTAATAGTATAATCTGTAATCATATATGGGAACAGCTGATTTCTGATCTTCTTCCATGCCTGACTCTCTAAACTTAATGAGTCATGGAAGACTAGTATGGATGTCTGCAGGCGTTGTGGGAGGCAGGGAATGGAAAGGACCGTTGGCCATCCCTCTGTTTGTAGAATGCTATGTACATTTCGCCGTTAGAGGCTGGTATTCTGTTTCCCTAGTGAAGCATGAGTTGGGGGTGGTGAACCTCTAGTATTTAAATAAGGTCAAAGAATTCATTTTAGCATTCATCCTAAAAAAGTCACTTGAAAGACCACTTAATGGTATCTTAATGGAGTATTTTGTCAGACCTCCGACTTGCCCTGTATTCTGAGTGTTGGTGTTTTTTTTCCCCCCAATTTAATGTCAGTTTTAGAACGAAAGATTTCAATGCGAAAGCCCAGAGAGGAACTCATTAAAAGAGGGGTTCTGTTGGAAGACCTTGAGCAGGGTGAGTTTACCCCTTGTCTTCCTCTGTGTACCCTCCATTGCCAATTCTGACTCTGATTAACTCCATCTTTGGTATTCCGTGCTTGTGTGCGTGCACACGTGTGTGTACATGCACACACACTATCTGCTCCACCTCTGCTTCCTCTCCCTTTGCTAAATGTGATTCTGTCCTTGTCTGCCCTCTGAACGTTTTTATGACGGGCTCCACACCTTCCTGGCAGCTGGAGGTAGGAAAGGCTGCTCAGTCTGTTTCCGTCCCTCCTTCCACCAAGACCCTGCACGGAACAATAGGTGGCACGCCGAAGACTTGCCAAACGTCACCTAGTGGTTTTGTAGCTGAGGTTTCAGCTTAGAGTGTCCCACAGACTAGGAAGCGTGGCACCTCGGTTGTAAACCATGTGTTTTGAATGTAGAAGGTGCTGAGTTTAATGCCCAACTTCACTAGGTGGGGCTGAGAAAGATCCTCTGAAACCCGGAAGAGCTGCTGAAAGTCAGTGTAGACCATAGTGCAGCATCTCTTTCAGCCCAAGGGCTAAATTCCATTTTGGAGAAGCTCTTAGGGGCCGCGTTTGAGTGCTGGAAGGGTCAAAATATTTAAAATACCAGCAGGTTTTAGCTTGAAACTCTTGCTGTCCGTCATGAAGCCTTAGGAAAGGCATGTCAAGAGCTTAGAATGAGGGAGAACCTGAGCATAAGCAGTGGAACCACCAAAGCCTGGAGAAAAGGAGTGGAGCAATGGCTGATGCTCTGGATTTGCCCTCTTAAGAGGTCCAAGGTTCTCCATCCCTGGTGCAGGCGACGCTGAGCAAGATGGTTCATTGCTCTGACTCAGCAAAGGCATCTTCCTGTGTTCTGAAGAAGATGTCCTTGACACTTGCCCCGCATTAACTGTGCAACACAGTTGTCCTGGTGGAAGATTTAATGGAGGCAGCACATTCTGTGTCAACTGGAGCAGAAGTGGCTTAGCTCCCCTGCTCCCCTTGGTATACCTAAGGACAGTGCAGCGAGGAAGCTACCTAGAGTCCTGTCATGGGAGTCCTATCATATTCCTATGCGCAGACTCTCATTTTTCATCTGTCTTCACATTTCCCCCCAAATGGGCACAGGCACATGTGTCCCAGTCCACACAGGGTCTCTGATGTCGCCCACTGCAGCCCTGCAGGAGACGTGCTGTGCTGCTGGCCAAGCTCACAGTCCTGTTTTTTCCCCCTCTAGCTGGGAACTGGACACCTCTGTCCTGTGCTAAGGGAAAGAGACATCCTGTTCTGAGATGCGTGGCATTTTGCAAGGAGCAAGTGGGACATATTTTGCACAGTTGGATAGCTCTCTTGAAGGGGGAGCCCCAGCCCCTGACCCTGCAGAGTACATAGCATCACAGCGAAGCCACACTGGCTTACAGGAAAACGTGGAAGAAGAAATCTTTCTCCTCAGGAATCCAGCAGGCTCTGAGCCCAGTTTGCCTCCCTCTCCTATTTTGTTGTTATTTATTTGAAAGATTTATATCCTGTCTCTGCCCGAAGCTTAGCTGCTGGCAGCACGAGGTTTCAGCCTCCAAGGTAGCTGATAAGTGAAAATAAATACATGATGACGACAGGAAGTGCCGGATGCCTAGCTTTGGCTGTTGCTGCCTGTCTCTTGTCTTAACTCAATCCAGAGATGGCTGATGGGGAATTAAAATAGTGCTGATATTACTGCATTTTGGATCTCGTCGCTTTGCTCCCTCCTTGCCCACAGATGCTCCCAAGCGCAAAAGTAGCAGGGGCACATGGAGAGCGAGCGTGGTATCGTGGCTCTAGCACTGGATTGGAACTTGGCAGACCTGGCTTCCAGTCCCTCCTCGGCCATAAGAAGCTAATCAGTCACTGACTCTCAGCTGCCTTGCGTTCCTTGGAAAAGGAAAAATGGTGGGGTGTAAATGTATTATTTAATTGTAAGCAGGAGTTGCAGAAGAGCAGTTTTCTGGATGCTTCGTAGTCTCTTAAGCTCTCTTCTGCAGACGCCTCCTGGCCATCCTGCTTGAGAAGGATGGTAAATAGAGTGGGGGGCTCACATTCTCAGTGAGCCTCTTTCTGCTGGGGGGGGGGCAGTGGGTAGGATAGCCATGGACCTCTTCAGTCCACAGAGCAGCGTGGCTGCTGCAACCCAGGAGGTGCCTCTTAGATGCTTTGCCTTGGCATAGATGCTTGGCATATTTTGCTGTATTAGGCAGGGGTGCTTCCTTGCTCCCACACACACAGAAATGTGCACACATGCATGCATGCACTCCTGGCGTTCTGCTTGCTAGTGCTAGCTAAGAAAACCTTCCCTTTATCTCTGATTTCCTGTGAGAGACTGGAGATGAGGGAAGCGATTCCCTTGCTAGTGCTGGATACTGAAATCCTGGCGCTTCTCTTGCTCATACTAGTAGGGAAGTCCTTTCCTTATCTTCGATCTCTGATGAAAGATCAGAGATACAGAAAGGGATTCCCGGGAGCACGGGATGTGCCAGGACTTCCATGCCCACTGCAGCAAGAGAATCCGTTTCCTTGGACTCCTGCACTGTGCAGGCAAGTGGACTTGAGAGCCTTATTGGCCACTTCCGACTTTCCAACTATTCTTTCCTTCCCACAGAGATTAGAAATAAGGGAGGGATCTCCTTGCCAGCACAGTGAACCCCAAGCAGTGCCTCTGTCATTTTTCTGGTGGCAGCAACTGCAGGGGGTCCGGTGGTGTGCCAGAAATGGCTTGGTGGGCACTCATCCAGTTTTCCTTCTGGAGGAAGAAAAGGCTTTTCTGAGGAAAGAGAGCAAGCCAAAAGCCTTCTCGTAGATCAGAGTGGGGTACCATCGGCGGTTGCCTGGCTAACAGGGCAAACTGTGGCTGCATCCAGACAGTTGGCTCTTAAGCACCCAGCAAAAGTGGCTCTTTCAGTATAAGCTACCGGAGGAATTGCCTGGACTTCCACACTGTCCTTCCAGGCAGTCAGTTGCGACTTTGGGGCTTAGAGGGCAGCTTGAACTGCTTCCTGCCTTGAGCTTATCTTCCGGTGTCTTTTCCGGGGCACTGCTGTACTCCTTTGTTCTAATCGCATTGGTTTTAATCTGCTAAGAACACATTAATTGGCTGTATCCTATCCTTAATGATAGTAATTTTCAAAAGTTCATGTTTTCTTGTTATCTCATCAGCTTTCAATTTTAGAACCCTTCACAAGCCATAGCCGCTTTTTCCTTTATTGGCAGGGTCCTCCATCAAAAGCTATTGCTTTTATATCTTGCCAAGATAATTGACTGAACTGTTGCCTTCATTTCCTCCTTAAACAGAAGCATGCTGACAAATTGGAAGCAGAAAAAAGTCGTGTAAAACAAAACTGTCTAAAACAACAACAGCAAAAAGCCTCAGAGCAGTATCTGACGAAAACGGTTGCTAGTGGAAATCGTGAATGTCTTTTGTTTGCAGGCTTGAACAATAGCATCTGATAGCTACATTATCAAAGAAAGATGAGCAAAAGCAAACCGTTTTTGAACATTTAGAATCTCTTGATCACTAGCACAGGGCTGGTTCTCCCATGAAGCAGGGCTGGGTGTCTGCCCCACGTGGTCGAGCAGGAGGGGCAGTGAATTGCGGGCTTCCCCACACCTGCAGGAGGATCCGCCATCTGGTGTGCTGCTCACCTTCGATCCACATTGCTTCTGTGCCTCCCACCATGCAGCCACCACCCCTTCACCACCCACAGATCCTCTCCCCATAGCACAAGGCATCCTCTTCCTCCACCGTCCTCTTCCTCCACCATGCCGGGATCCGAGAAGGGCCCTTTGCTGGGGCCCGGCTTGGTCTTGAGGAGCTGTGCGAGCCACTCTTCCGGCTGACACGGTGCTTCAAAGGGGTGAGTGGACTGGGTGGGAGCCAGGGAGGGAGGAGGAAGATGCACCTAGCATGCGGAGTGTGGGGGAAAGAAGGGGCATGGGAAAAGCGGAGACAAACGCAGGAGCAGGTGCCTTGGGGAAAGAGACGCAGTGGCAGCTGTGTCCAGAAGCAGCTTATATAGTCGCTTGTGCCAGCACTAGCAGTAACGGAAGTTGGTGTATTGAGCTAGTATTGTTTACCCAAAGGAAAAATGGTACATCAGAGCTGAAGCAGCTTGGATGTCAGTCTAGATTTGGTTTTTTCAGGGGGTTGCTGTGAGTGAGGCTGGAGCGAGTGTGTTGGTTCCTGCCATCAGGTTGCTTTTATTGAACACAGGATGAGCCAAGCCACCTAGGGGAGCCTGGTTCCTGGCTGGTGAGGTGCGATGGGCAAACCGAGACTCCTGGGTTGTTGGAGGAGAGACAAGCCAGAGTTTTCCTGGGTTGTGTTGTTTCTCCTGCTTAGAGTAGGATAGTGAGAGCTAGCAAGTTTGCTTGTGCCTGCTTGGTTCACTACAACTCAGGGTTCTAAAAGCAATACCCAGCCTGAGTTGTGGGGTGGTCTGAATTGGGCCATTGAGCCAAGAGGCAAACCAAAGGTCGCAGTGAATACAGAAATGGGTCTCTTGATAACTCGGGTTGGTCCTGTCATGGTTTGGCAGCTAAGGAAACAAGAGATCCCCTCAGTACAAGGAGTTAAACACAAATCTAGGAGAGTATAGTGCATTATTTACTTAGATGTTTATATTGCTTCCTAGCAATGCTGTTTGCAGACTAATTTGATTAAGGCATCATGTTAAGAGGTCCTTTAACAAAGGCTCCCCTTTCACGTGCACGTGTCCAGCAGTGTTGGGAGAGCTGTGTGGTGCCAGGGAGTGTTGTGTGAACAATGCCATGTACCTAGTCAACAGTTTGAGCAAACTGATTTCCCTCAAAGAATACATATTTATATCTGGTTTGTTAAATGTATGTCTTTCATTTTCTTTCAAAAAGCTCAAAGCAGGGTAGGTGATCTTCCTCCTTCTCTCCATTTTCCTTCACAACAACTCTGTGGGGTAGGTTAGGCTGAGAGTCAGTGATTGGTCCAAAGTCGCCCTGGGCGCTTCATGGCCAATTGGTGACTTGAATCTGTGTCTCCTGTGCCCTAGTCTTGCAATATGCCATGGGGCTCTCGCAAGATGGCAACCTCCAAATAACTTTACTTCAATACTTTATGGATGACCTTTTGTGACTGTAGGCTCAATTTTTGACAGCCTTGGGAAAGATCTTGGTTTACTTCTAAATAAATGTTTAGTATTTTAGACTGCAGTTGAACCATCCTGCCATATTCATTTGATTTTTCCTGGACTTGAAAAGGTCTCTGATGTGTAGCTCAATAGAACGACAGATTTCATTATCACTGAATCTACACAAGGCTTATAACATGTTATATTTTAATCCCTTGTACGCCATTATTTTCTTATGGAGTGCTCACACTTCTTCACACCCAATAGATTGTTTGCGTTTACACAGTTTTAGTACCCTCCAGAGCCTCTACTGTGTTTCGGAGGTACTTTCGCACTGTTTTTCAGTACGAGGATAACCCGTTGCCTTTTAGCTATCATGCTAAAACAAGCCTATGCATTTTGGCACAGCTGACCTTGCATTTGTGTAATAGAACATACAGGAATGCAGAGAAAGAAAACCCCTGCAAAGGAGACACTCCTTCTGCTCCAAAGGAAACAACATTCCCAGGTTAAGCGCCTCATGTAGAGAAGCCCTTGGTGTCACGATCCCCCTCCATGATCCTTTTCTATAGATTTAATAAAGAAATCTATAGCAGTGGTTTCTTCATCTCTCAGACTGGAGCTTCCAATATTAGGAGAAAGGCCTTCAACTGCAGACGTACTGCTTTGCTTGGCAGGCCTGCTGTTTTGTGGTTCTACCTCTCTCCAGCTCCTCCTTCTTGACCACTTTTCCAACTTGCTGTTCAGGTTTGTGCTTCAGCTGACATGTTCTTATTTCGTTCTCTCTCCCTCACGTCCAACACAAACAGAAGGAGAAGAGTCAGACAAATCCAGCCACACTACCTTGAAAAATGGGCACACTGTCCCCATCGACTGCTCTGGGATCGGCAACCTTGAACACCAGGAGGAAGAGACTGAGAAGGGGTCAAGACTTAATCCTGAGCCTGTGGATGAGCCGAAGAAATGGCAAGGTGAGAAACTGCGAGGCTTCCGGAGAAAGGCATTTCCTTAGCTAACACCAGTTTTGGGCTCTTCTGAAAGCATCTCCACGCAGGGGGATTTCCTCATACTAACACAAGTTACTCACACCTCTTCCAAATGTCCGGTCCCACCCAGTTTATCTTGTCCATCATCAGCCACACTGTCTCCTCCTGCCCACATGGTGCTGGTGAATACCAGCCTTCAACTTGAACTCTGCCTTGGGAATTGGCACACACCTCCTGTTCTCTCCTCTACCCAGTGACTGTCTGCAGAGACCGTCTGGGCAAGTTTCCCTGCTCTCAACCCCCCTCTGACTTCCCTGGAAAATGATTCAAGGAAAATCATGAACCTTTCAAAACAAGGAACTATGGAGCAACTTGCCTTCCTGACTCTACGAAGCCGTTTTGCAACCCTTCCCATTCCAGACCCAGAACTTTTAGTAGATATAAGGAGTTATCTTAATACACTCTGCAAGTGCAGCCGTTTATTTATTTCAGAGGGAAGGACCCTCGTCAGCAGGACACGTGTTCTGCCTACAGAAGGGCCCAGATTCAGTCTCGGGCATCTCCAGGTAGGGCTGGCAAAACACCTGCCTGGAACTCCAGAGAGCTGCTCCCAGTCCATATCAATAATATTGGGCTAGACTGGAGTGGAAAACATGTGGCTCTCTTCACCTTCTGCTGCCGGCCCTGCTGCCCCTGAATTTGGGTGGAATTTTCCCCTGGAAAAGATGGCAGTTGGACTGCTTACCCAGAGTCAAAAGGACTGCATTTAGATTGCTTGCATAGCTGCTTTGTAGCTACTTCAGACACAACGACAAACACACACACACCTACCCTCTGTTGGGAGCCAAGGTTCCTCCTTCAGACAAAGGCCAGCCACAGTCCATGTTCCTTACAAACTAGTACAAAGTCGCCCAGACCAAACCTCTGAGCATGCACAGAGTGGTTTATTGAACTCAGTCTAGTGATAAGTTCCACAGACTCTCCTTATGAATGTGCCTGAGCCTGCAGAAGAGGCTCTCTGAAGACAGCCCTGCCTCCTTTCTACACCCTGCTCATCTAACTGGGCCTCTGCTGCCTCCTTGCCATGGGTTCTGCTTAGAGGAAGGGAACTGGTCTGTGTCTGGGAGCTCCTGGTCCCTGGTGCCTCCTCCCACTACCTGTATGTCCATTCCCAGGATCTGATACACACAAAAAGGGACACAGGAAAGTACTTCCAAAAGTATTCGGCTCACTTAATGATGCAAGAATTTCGTGCATGGGTGGACAACTTCTGGGGTTCCAGGAACCAGTTCCCCCTTCTTAGAATTTACCGGTGGTTGCATCCCGTCACCACGATTGCTGTGAGATCATTGCCATGCCAGCAAAATTTGGTGGTGTGGCAAAGTGCTACGTTTTTCCTTTGGAAAATGTACTCTTTGAGTGCTGTTTCTGTGCCACCGAGTTCAAATCAGGGGTGGGGGGCTGGCAGGAGGGGCTGTGAAGAAGGCTGGGTGGGCCATCCACCTTTGGCATCTTGTCCACCCTTGATCTGGTTGAAGTTTCTTCTCGTACGTGATAGCCTTTTCCAGGCATGTCCATAATGCTGTTTTCTTCCCATGCTTGTTCACAGGGACACCAAGCAGCCATCCCAATTCGGAAGGGGAGCCTCATGCTCCAAAGCAGCCTTTGCTTCCTCCAAAACGGCCTTTGTCATCCTCTTCTCAGGAGACGAGTGACATGCAGGCAAGGGGCAGTGTCCCTGCCAGCAGCGCTGCAAGGACTGTGCCTTCCTCCACAGCTGCAGCCACCGTTAGTGCATCAAAGGGGGTCAGTTCGGCCACTGCCCCCTCCCCAGCCCCAAGGACTGTGCCCTCAGCGCTCTCAAGTGCTCACACTACTGCTAACCTGAATGCTACCAATGTGACGTCTGCCAAGCAACCCCCTGTCCCTCCCCCCAAGCCGGTGACTAGGAATAGCAATCCCTTAATAGGTACGTAACTCTTATTTGTATATACATCGTGTCTTTGATTCTTTCTTTAATTGATGTGGATTGGAAAGAAAGCCTGAAGGAATGTTCACAAATGATCAAAAAATGGCTCGATCAAGCCTTCACTTTTTAAAAACGTTTCCACTAGTTGATGTGCATCAGTTCTGCTAATTTATAAGCATCTGCCCATCTGCTGCTTCTGTTATTAGAAATGAAGTGATCACAAACTCTGTGGGCGTGACAGAATATTGCAGGGTAATGGGCTTCAGCTCATCGAAAAAGTACATCAGTAAATACATTCCACATACCATTTGAGGACGTTTTGGATCAATGCAAACTTAGTTTTTGGTGTGCTATAGATTCTGTTACAGTAATTACATTCTGTCACACACACACACACACACACACACACACACACACACACACACACACTGCTAGTGTGTTCCTAACATCACATGTGAAAATATTCCAAGTGTCAAGTTTCTTAGCTGAATTCTCTTGGATTGTGGCCCAGTGTAGGTCTCTTAAATATATTAAGGTGAAATAATATGCAAGTTTATACAGCAAAAAGCCCAACTCATTGTGGTGCACGGTGAGTTACAGGCTTTTTTGTTTTTGCCTAACTTGCATAGGATCCCAGGCATAGGGGCACATTCCAGTGGACGGGTTCTAGAAAGAGCAATCTTCTTGCAAGGTTTTTCCCCCTCCTTGGACATGTCACAATGCAAAGATCTGTGTTTGGCCACAGACCTCCTCTTCGTCTCCCGAAGAAAAAGGTGTCTCACTTTCATGTTGCAAGGTACATGGTGGACACGGTCATTGATTGCAAGAAGCAGCTTTTCACCTTGCAAAATGTTAAAGCGAAGAGTGTCATTTGGCTTGCTGGCCAAGTACAATTTGAGTTTCTAGTACTGATAGCCAGTTGGACAAAGAATGAGAATCCTAGTGCTTAACTTGTGTCTTGCTTGGGGCCTCTGTAATAATTTTAATCAGCTTATAAAATTATACTGTGTCCTCATAATAATTACTTCCTCAGTTACATCATACTTAATATAATAGCCAAATTAGACAATGTAAGCCCATCCTGCTTTATCAAGTGTGCATGTGTGATTTGGAAGTGAAACTACATTTTCCATTAAGCAACAGATCCCTATTCTGAAGATCGCACTAATTTAAATCTCCTTTGTGAGCCATCCAGATTGGCTGCTGGAAGAGTAGAAACGAAGCAACAGTGGCAACAATAATAGCATTGGAAAATAGGATTACACTGTTAATTGTTTTGTCAATGAAGAATATTTTGTGCTCTTAACAACTGGTATATGTAACACAGTTGTTACATGGTATAACAGCAAACCTATTTTAGCTAATGAGGACACACTCAACTGGGAGCTGTGGTCTAATTTCATATTTGGGTATGATACAGATGTACAAATGCTTGTTTGTTATACTCACTCATTACATTTTTAAGTGTGCCACAAGATGCTTTAAGTACCCTTAGAAGATGTGGCGTGTAAAGCAAGTGTCCCTGATTTTGGGTACTGTGTGATCTTTGTTTTTAGTTTATATCCACCCCCTCCCTGGCCCACTTTTCATTACATGAAAAGGTAGACTCTTCAGTTGGCCAGTTAGATCTGACTGCGCTGCGGTGATGTCTCTTTAACCACATTTTCCTGAGCTTAATAATTTGAAGAAGCGGTTCAGGGAAAAGATGTCTCAGTCTCTCAAGGCTGACCTTGCTCAAGTTCTACGTTTTGCACCATTCGGCTTGTTCTGCCCCAGCGCTATGTGAGGGCCTCTCTCCTAACTTTTACACATACTTTGGCAAGCCTTTTTCAAACTGTGTGTGATCTTGCGCATCTTTTTCAGATGTGGCACATCTGAAAACTTTCACTTTCTGTCCGGTTAAGGGTTTTCTTTCTGTCGCAGCTACCGGGTGAGAAGGTTGGCCAGGTTGCTGTCTCTTATCTCACTTCAGCAGCAGTACGAAAGAAGCTGCTCTCCTGCTCTACTTGAAAATGGGGCACTCGGGGGCGGGGGGAGGAAATGGAAACAGGCTGTAGGAAGCGTTGCCTGTGGCACTTGTGGCCCTGGCCATGTGTAAGGAAGAGCCTTCGTGACACTTGTGGTTCGAGGGTGTGGGGAGAAGGGAGTAAAATGTATGTGGGTCTTGCTAACCTGCTAAGAATGTGCAGTGGGAGCGTGAGGCAGATCTTGCAGTCGCCCTCAGAACACACATTGCAAGGTCTAGTGTGTGTGTGTGTGTTTCTGAACCAAGGAGGCAATGACAGCAGCGGGTTCTACTCTGTCAAATTTGCAGGACCTTATGGATGATCACATCTGGGGTGGAGGACACAAATCTGAAGGAGCAAGAAAGACTCTGAGAAGAGAGCAGCCAGGATAGAGAGAGAATGGGCATGTGTGTGTGTGTGTGTGTGTTTTACAAGGAGGAATGGTGTTAAAATAAAACTGGAGTGATCAGAACAGATTAATACGTCAAGAGTCATGTTTATATTGGCTGATCTCATGAAGGGATTTAAATACTGCCTTTCAAGCCAGATTGCTCCCACAAGGTGCTGTATGAAAAAAAATAACCTTGCTCAACACACATAATATATTTATTTTTCGATTTATATCCTGCCTTTTTCCTACAAAGGGCTCAAGGCAGCTTACATCATTCTCCTCCTCCTCCATCTTATCCCCACAACAACAACCCTGTGAGGTGGGTTGGGCTGAGAGTCTGTGACTGGCCCAAAGTCACCCAGTTGGCTCCATGGCTGAGCGGGGACTAAAACCCAGGTCGTGTGAGTCCCAGTCCCAGGCTCTAATCCACTGCACCACACTGGCTCTCATATATAAAGCCATCAGACCATTTGTTTCTTCTAGGGAAGGGCAGTCCATGAATGCGGGACACCACTAAAATGCTATCTCAGGTTCTGTCTCCATAAAATGAAGAATGGAGGATTGGCGTGGGTGGTGAATGCAAGTTGCTTGGCAGAGGACCAAACCACTCCAGTTTGTGGTTCAGAACATTGATTGCTTTCTTGACACGTTGCTATCAGTGCTCCAATACCAGATATTGACTGAGATGTCGGGCTCTTGGAGCCTACAGAAACTGTCCAATGGAAGCTAGAACCTTGTTTGAGCTGCTTCGCTCTGGCTGCAAAACAGCTTTTTGTTGAAGTTTGGCCCACAAGAGAGTCAGAAGAACTGATCCTGCACACCCTGAGAATGAATCGCATCCATCCCTTCCCCGTACTTGTATTTAATGTCCAACAACAAGCACTGGTAGAAAGGATAAGATAATAGAAAAGTTTGCAAGACTGTATGAAGATAGAAAGTGAGAGGGGCAGGAAGAAAACTGTGGCAGATGACAACATGCTTGTCTGACATCTGTGCTGAACTAGAAAGTTTCGTTCTCACTGCCTTGGCACTGATTCTCTCATCTCCTGCTTGTGGGTTCTTGTGGGAAGCCAGCTGGGCACTGTGTGAAGAGCATGCTGGATCAGATGGGCCCTTGGCCCTGATCCAACAGTGCTCGTCTTGGATTCTGATGATCGTGTTGTGATTACGCAGATCTCTCTCTTGTGGAATAATGGGCAGGAATCCAGTGCTGAGTGCAACCTGAAAATGCCCCTTTTCATGGCGGCCTTTGCCAAGTTGTGTGAGGTAGGGAACTGAGGTGCAGGAGATGTGATATCACAGGGTTATTTCATGACATCAGGTGTTTGAACTCAAATCCAAATCCATATGACTCCCGCTGTCCTTCACTCTCAGCCATAGTAGCTGGAGCTGATGGGAGCTGTAAGCCAAAACCACTTGCAGGCCCCATGTGACTCACCCCTCTTTTGGGGTAAAATCTTCACAAGCTGAATTAATACCTACAATATGTCAGAAAATGAAGCCAGTAAAGGAACAGTTAAAATAGCAACAGCTAAAAAACATGGAGCCAAGCAAAGTCATTAGGTAGAAGTTGGGCAGGAATTTTTTAAACTTCTAACAATCTGCTTCTGTCCTTTGGACTGTGCCGGCCCTCTGGCCTGTTTCTGCGCATGATCTGGAGGGGTCTGGATGTCCTTCTTTATGGTCTCTGTGCATCACACACATGAGCTGTGCACATGCAAGGAGCCTGTTTGGGAAGATTCCATAGCTAAGATTTTACTTGGTGGGAACCCCTCCTCTCCCTGCCCTGGCGTGGAGGGTTCCCGTCTGCTCCTTAGTAGTTCTCTGACCACCATTGTAGGTGCACCAGGAAGTCCCTCCTCTGCTCTCTGCAGTTACCCACTTTCCTCTGATGGTTTTCCTCCTTTTTCGTCTAGCCCCTGCTGAAGAATCTCTTTTCTCTTTCCCTTTCCCAGGTTTGTCTAATTCCCTCATTCCTGAAAGAAATTCTTCAAAAATGTATCTGCTGTCTCCTCTTTGTCCTTACCTGCTTGCTCCCCATCTCCAGCTTCCCTGCCCCATGATCGCGCTCAAAGCTCCCCTGAGGAATTGTTGCAGCTGTGGCAGCTGATGGCCACTCTCTTTGTTCCTTCTGCTTGCGGGAGAGCCCTGACCTGCTGCGACGGCCAGGCTTTCACCAAACAGAGGAGAAATCACGGGCCGACTGCCTGAAAGCCAGGCTGTGGAGCAGGGACCTCCATGGGGCGCAGCCCACAGCCAGCCAAATGCACCACCACCCTGGAGGCCCTGGCGTCCTCCTTCGCACTACCCGCTGCGACTGTAGGGCCTGCCACAAGCACTCCACCAACCGAGGGACCCGCACTGAGGCCCCATTTGCTCAGACCTTTCCTTTCTCCAGGCACTAGAACTGGCAACCCTCCGCTTCCTTTTCGTAGATGCGCATTCTAACAATATGTAACCGCACTTTGTCTGTCTGTCTTTGCTTTCCAGCTGAATTGTCTCAAGCTATCAACAGCGGCACGGCTCTGTCAAAGCCCTCTCCGCCTTTGCCTCCTAAAAGAGGTGTCCCATTAAATGCGCCTTCATCCCTCGAATCGGCCACGACGCCCAGGTCACCCATGGACAAGATCATGTCGTCATCCTACCCGTCCTCAGTCCCGGCGCACGCGATGCCATCCCACCCGCCACCCTCCTCGTCGCCCCCTCCGCTCTGCCACGTGGCTCCAGAGCCCCCCCACAGCCTGCTTCCTACCCCCATCCAAGGGATGCAGGCGCCTCTTCCCACAGAACTGCGGGTGGAAGCGCAACAGGAAGGACTTCCCCTGCCGGATGCAGCCCGGAGGATGGCCGAGCAGGGGCCGCTCCGGCTCCCCCAGCTCCCCCTGCACATCCGCATCCAGCAGGCGCTGACGAGCCCCCTGCCGGTCACCCCGCCGGCTGATGGCTCGCACAGGGCCCACTCGCTGCTCTTTGAGAGCGACGCCTCCTACGAAGAGAATGGGGCGCTGGGCCGCACACGGTCGCTGCCGGTTACCATTGAGCTGCTGAAAGTGTGAGTTCCTTTGCGGGGTGTTGTCGGTGGTGACCTGCGTGCAGGTCAGCTCAGTTTCTCTTTTGGTACCAGCATATTTTAGCTGGTTTTAGAGATTGGCTCTCTCTCTTTCGAAAGTTAAACTGGGGGAAGCCTGGTGAAGGTACTGAGCCGCTGACCTGTGCAAAAACCTGGCTGATTCTTCTCCAGTTGCTCACATGTGCACAGCAGAAGTCCTAATGCACCACCTGGATTTCTTGGGAATCGTACAGGAAAAGGACTCTTTGCTGGCAATGTCCCTTGAGTATTTAGTCTCCCAAGGAGTTTCATACACTGTATTTTACTACTTAGTAAAAATCGGCTTTCTCAACCCTGAAAATGGAGCTTGGCAACCTTTAAAACAAGTGCAAGAACCACAGGCTCGGGGGTTAAGTCTAGCCCACCCGGGGCCCAATTTGGCCCCCCAAGAGTCCCCAGATGGCTCCTCTCCTTTCCCCAACCCACAATTATTTCATGATTTCTTGGTGATTTTATGCAGTCCTTGCCCCCGCAATCTTAAAGCTTGGACCACTTCTTTTTTAAGCCTTAGTTAAGAACTGTAACGTGCTGGTACTTCTGTCCCAAAATCCTTTTGCCTAACCCTAACTCCCCTCCCAAGAGCTTTTCATCGGGACCAACTCTTTGGACTGAAGGAGGATAAACAGCCCTACTAGATAAAGTATGCAAAATAAGCACATTTGCTTTCCCCCAGTTTGCATGGTTCTGCTTTTGCTAGCCATGGTGCAGGGTTGGGAAACAGAAACAGAGCGAGTCAGAAGGGGCCTCCTGGGCCATCTAGTCTGATCCCCGGCTCCAGCTGGCTCCGCTCACGACATGCCCACCATGTGGATGTCCAGCCTATCCTTGAACACCCGCACCAATGGGGCCTCAACGACCTCTTGTGGAAGCCCATTCCACACCCTCGGGGTCCTGACTGTCAGGAAGTGCTTCCTGGCATCCAAATGGAACCTTGGCTCCCTGAGCTTTGCTCTGTTGGAGCGCATTCTGCCTTCCTCTGCAGGGGAGAACAGGTCTCTACCCACCTCCATGTGACATCTCCTCACATCTCTTTAATTAGTCTCTTTCATTGTGCAGTTTCACAGCCCTGGGAGATGCTTAGGAAAGGGACTTCTCCCACCTGGTATCCTTCAGAAGTACATGATCACTACACCCCATGAACTTAGCCAATAGTCTAAAAGGGCATATCTTCCAAAACTTTGGTAAAGATACTCTTTGGGGACCCTGGATGAAGAGGGAAGTGTTCTAACTTGCAGCCCAGTCCTCTGATGCTGCAACTTAGACGGCCTTTAACAGGGGTGGCTGAGGAGCAGCCAGATCTGGCGTTGTACAGTGCTCCAGTTTTTGAGCCATCATACAGGCAGCAATTACAGATGGAGGCACCCACCTCTGCAGGGTATTTGGGGGCTGCTTCTTTCTGAGCCCCTCAGTGCTGCACCCAGTGTGCAGGCGGGAGGTGCGCTTGTTACGTCCCGGGGGCCAAAGGGCTGCCTGACATGCACGTAACTCTTCCCTGAGAAACACAGAAACTGCGCGATTCAGAAGGGGCCTCCTGGGCCATCTAGTCTGACCTCCGGCACCAGCCGGCTCCGCTCACGACATGCCCACCATGTGCACGTCCAGCCTATCCTTGAACACCCGCACCAATGGGGCCTCAACGACCTCTCGTGGAAGCCCCTTCCACACCCTCAGGGTCCTGACTGTCAGGAAGTGCTTCCTGGCATCCAAACGAAACCTTGGCTCCCTGAGCTTTGCTCTGTTGGAGCACGTTCTGCCTGAAACAGGGAAATGGAGATCCTGCTTCCGCTCCGGCTCCTTCCACTGCACTGGGATTCCACCTAGAACTGTGTTGTTCGTAAGCCGAGAACCTGAAGGCTTCAGTTTCAAACTGTTGACTTCTGTGTCTGCTGTCAGTTTATCTGCTTGTTCAGCGCCCATCGCAAAACAGCTCTGGACAGCTCTGCTGATCAGCATTGTTCCCCAGGAGAGCTCCTTACGAATCCTTCCCTCTACAAATGAAGGGCGGTTAAGGGTACGATCCTATGCCTTTTTTGCTAAAAAAAGGCCTGCAGCTCCCAGCATGGCCCCACACCCCCTTCTTCCTGTCCAAGCAGGCACAGAATTGCACCCTTAACCCGATTAAAAATAAATAACTGTATACCTTCTTGTTAGTCCAGACGATGATGAAGAGGAAGAGGATGGCCAAGGAGATGTGCATCATTCCTATCCCCATGTTTACACTGGAGAGGCCCCAAGCACTACGATCATTCCCAGCATCATCCTGCAGACTGTGCAGGATGAAGAGGAGGGACCAAGTGACTCAGACTCGGAGGGACCCATTCTGTACAGGGAGGAGGAAGAGGAGGAGGATGAAGACGAAAGCCATAACAGTAAGTCTCCTCCTATCCCGGGCAAGCTTTCTCAGTGCATCGGGGCTGTGGAACCACTGCCTCGTGGGCCACATCCGCCTCACTCGGGGTCCCAGACTGGCCCTTAGGGATCCCCAGTTGGCTTGCCCCGCTTTCCTCTGACTGCCAATGGTTTACCAGCGTTGTGCAGTTTTTCCCCCATTCCACAGATTTGGAAATGCCTCTCCTAATGCTCCGTTGCTGGCAGTGAGAGCTAACCCATAATCTGGCCAGGGCGGCTTATTTTATATTGTATATTGTATTATATTGTGTATGTGTGTGTGTATATATATTAAATTATTATTATTATTATTATTATTATTATTATTATTATTATTATTATTATAACACACACACACACACACACACATATATATATATATATTAATTTTTATTTATGTGTTGTAAGCCACCCCGAGGCTTCGGTGAATGGGGCGGCATAAAAATGTCTTAATAAATAAATAAATAATGGTGGCACTTTTGTTATTTTGGCCACATCCCATGTTGCTGTTGGCCCCACCTAGCTCTGGAATGCAGTCACTGCCAACATCCCTGAAACTGGATTCTGCCCTGGGGCTGAACGAGGCTTGATTCATGCAGATGTGCCTTCGCTGCCTAGGCACTTTCCTCCTGCTTTCTGCCTTAACACTCTGTAGATATTTGACATCCGTGTGATCTGAAGCGGTGGGGAAGAGCTGGCAGAGAGGTAGCATGTTTAGTAACGTCCGCGCGTTCTTTCTTTCCAAAGCTGCACTAGCCAATAAAGTCAAGAGGAAAGATACTCTCGCCATGAAGCTGGGCAACATTGCTCCCCGGCCGGAGCTACCGGAAGAGAACATGTTTCCTCGGAAGAGCAAGGAAGAGTGGAATGAAATCCGGCAACAGATAGGAACCACACTGATCAGGTAAGGGCGGCAGAAGAAAAGCTGCAGTTTGCTCAGCTTGGGATTGTATTGTCTGAGAAATATCCCAGGGAAACGTGGGCGCTAAGTGCAGCCATTTAACTTGCTTGGTCCTGGATGGCCTTATAGGCACAGCAGGTGTAAGGGCCCTGCCCATCTGAGTTGCAAGCATTGGACACACTGGGGCACTGCCTGGCTCCCTTAAAAAGGAAAAACCATTTGGAGATGACCCTACATGCATTACATGCCTACTGCTTTGAGACTTGTTTTGGTGTGAAGGATGGAGAAAGCTGTGGCTTTCCCTGCATCCTAAAAGTGACACGTTTTCCTCTTTCTTTTCAAATAGGCGATTAAGTCAGAGGCCAACAGCAGAAGAACTGGAGCAAAGGAATATACTTCAGCGTGAGTCACAGCCATGTGCAGCTTTGTGAACATGCATATGCTAAACCATCAACGCCAGCCTTCCCCAGCCTCGTGTCCTTCAGATGTTCTACACTCCAGCACCTGTGTTGACTAGGAAGGTTGGGAATGTAGTCCAGTCCGTGGGGAAGGCACCGGCTTGGGGAAGGCTGGCCCACACCTCCTTTATCATCCTGCTCTAGCTGCAAAGCATTTGCTTTGGTCCCAGAACAGAAGCTCTACCTGCTGTGCAGCATTCCTGCCGTCCTGTCATTTGCATGGGAAGTTTCATTTAAATTCCCAGGGAGCTGCAGCAGGTAATCTGGACTGAAGCGAATGAACAGGCTTTGCCACTGCAGTGGCAGCAGCAGCTTTATTTATTTATTCCATCTTTCTGACACCCAATAGCCAAGGCTTTATCCTTTGCTGGGAGGAGTCAGAGGACAGTGTTTAAAACACTTCTGCTGTGCGTGGGAGGAACTGCACCTCCAAACAAAGTTTTTCTTCTGCTTCCGAGAGAATGGCAGCAGGCAGAGGAAAGAAATGTATCTTTGCAGGAAAGGAGTCCTCCTTGTTTTGGAGTTGTTTAGTTTTGACAACGAGGTAAGCCTCAGAATCGGGCTGGTGAGTCAAAGGAACAGCTGTGTCTAAGAGTTCCAGTATGCGGTGGAAGGATTCTTGTTTTTCCCCTGACTGCTTCTCCTTGCACGTCATGACTTTCTACTTCTAATAAGGAGGGGTTATCTGGCTGGGGTGTAAACCAGGAGCGGGAGTAGCAGCCTCTGTAAAGGAGGCACCATTAGGCCAAGCCTGGGAAAATTTAACCTGGGCCCAGTTGATGGTAACAAGTATAGGCCAGAAGCCCACCTTCCCTTCTGCCTGAGCCAGTCAACTTCAGACAATGCAATGAAATGGATCATTGAGACCCTTTGCGACTGGGCTTCCAGCCTGGCTTTGGAATGGAATCTGCCTTAGTCCCCTTGTGAGGTGACCTTGGCCAAGAGGGGGAAAGAGGCCCCGCTGCTGCTGCTGGGCTTCTCAGGGGCTTTCAGTACCGTCGCCCGTGGTATCCTATCCTTCTGGAGGCGTCGCCTGGGTCGGGAGCTGGCGGTGCTGCGCTACACTGGATCCCCTCCTGCCCGGATTCCAGAAGGTGGTGCCGGGGGGGTTGCTCTGTGTCTCGGAAGCCTTGCTGTGGGATTCCGCTAGGATCTTGCTCCCCACGCCCTTCAACAGCCATACAAATCCACAGGGGACGTTATCCTGAGGGGTAGGCCGAGGCCTCCTCAGTGCACAGATGGCAGCCCGCTGTGTCTCCTTCCTCTTGTCGCCCAGGCTGGATTGACGGTCGCTGCTTTGAATCAGGACCTGCACACAGCAATGGACTGAAGCAGGGCCAATGCACTGAAGCTCAGTACAGGCAGCGGAATCGTTAGTGGCACGTCACCTGCCTGGAAGAGTGATGCTCAACCTGTCCTAGAGGATCGAGGTCCTCCTGGAGCCACCCCTGCCATTAGAGGCCTCCGTGGCACCGAAAACCTTTGATTGGCTTAGGCTGATAGAACAACTCCATCCCTATCCGGACAGGGTTAGCCTAGCTAAGGTTACCCATGTTCTGGTAGCCTCTTGGCAGGATTACCGCAATGTGCTACCAGCTTTGAAAATGGTCCTGGGCTCTCGGGTGGTCCAAAGCAGGGGCAGCAACACTGCAAACAGGGACTGCCCAGTGGGACTGAATGAGGCCAGTTCTCTGCCTTCTGCCCTGGCTGCCATGCCTGGGCCTAATTCGAAGTGTGGCATTACCGTGCAGACCACAAAATGGCTTCTGGCGAGGTTCTTCCGTCTTATGCAGAAGACCCGAAGATCCTTCTCAGCAGCCCTTCTCTGGGAAGTAAAGTCGGTGGCTAGGAGCAAGGACCCTTGTGGTGGAACAAGCTTCCCGGAGAAGCTTGCCTGGCACCTACATAGTACTCTTTCTGGTGGCAGGTGAAGACTTTATTTTTCTGAGAATTCTCATCTTTCTAGTATAGAAACATAGAAACAGAGCAAGTCAGAAGGGGTCTCCCGGGCCATCTAGTCTGACCCCCCAGCTCCAGCTGGTTCTGCTTTGTTAAATCTTTTGCAGCAGTTTAACTGTTTGTGCTGGGCTAGGTTTTAGTCTGGATTTTTCTTCTGTACTGTAGTCTTACACCTTTATAGTGTATTTTAACATTGTACTTTCTGACTTTAATTGTTCTGCATTGTATTTTATTTGTACAATATTGCCCCCAATTCCTAATAATCCTTCCCAAAAGACAGTTCAATCAATGTGTGTCTAAATGTGTGTAGCATTAATAAGCTGTATCCTAGTAAATGACTTGTTCATTTATCCACTGTCAACTCTTTTGAGAGTAAGCAGGCATTGTAAGCACTAAACCGTTTTTCTTTTTCTTCTTGGCAGCCAAAAATGAGGCCGACCGGCAGGCTGAAAAGCGGGAAATTAAACGAAGGCTCACCAGAAAGGTACTGGAAATACTGAGCGTTTTGTTCTGATCTTCCAGAGCTCTTCGTGGGAGGGACCCATTGAGGCATGTGCTGTGTGGGTGGGATGCTGTAAGGGCTGTTCTGGTGCTCCGTCCACGGATATGGTGGCGACCGCTTTGGTATCTGGTATGGCTCTGTTCAGCAGCATGTGCAGTGCTCTGCTTAACTCTTCACAAAGTCCTAGCTGGAAAGCAGGATGGAGTAAACAGAGAGATGCATGTTGTCACGACTGGCTGGATACATCCCGGGCACTGAAAAAGGGCCTTGTGCAGTGTATGCCCAGTGCAGCGTGTGCACCAGCCTTTCCCAGCCTGGAAAGGATGTGTTGGACAACCACTCCCATAATCTCCCAGTTGGCTGGGGATTTTGGATGGTATAGTCTAGTACATCAGCTTGGGCACTATGGATGTATTTATTTATTTAAAACTTTTGTAGACTGTCCCATTATCGAAGTCTCGGGACAGTTTAACAATACAAAATGTTAGAAAAGAAAAAAAATATTAGGGGGTGGGAGGCGTATAGGGAAAAAGACGTTCCTTCAGGTATCCTGGTCCCAAGCCATTTAGTGCTTTATAGGTCAATACCAGCACCTTAAATGGAGCGCAGGCTTCAATCGGCAGCCGGTGCAGCTGGTGGAGGACCGGCATTATGTGAGAATAGGTTGCACTGTCCTATGTCGCTGCCCTGGACGTGTGACATCATAGTGGAGGAAGAAGCGTTTGCCTTGCTTAACAGAGCACATGAACGGCTGCTTAAGACCGACTCTCTCTCTCGCGTTGCCTTTCAGCTTAGTCAAAGGCCTACTGTGGCTGAACTGCAAGCAAGAAAGATCCTGAGGTTTAATGAATATGTGGAGGTGACAGATGCTCAGGACTATGACAGGCGAGCTGACAAGCCGTGGACAAAATTAACTCCTGCTGACAAGGTGGGCGGAAGATGCTTGCAGCCTGGCCTGTCCTCCTGTGATCCTACCCCCGCGCAACCCTGCCTCTGCCCCTTGCTCCACCAGCATCTGAAGGTTTCCTGCTCCCTCCAGCTCCTCACACTTTTTCTTCCTTGCTGCCCCTTGTGCCTCCCACATCCTTTAGGACTCACTTGCCACCCTGTGGGTCCATAGTGCAGCCTCTTGGACTACAGCTCTCATCAGTCTGAGACTGCACGAGCAGTGTCAGCAATCCTGGGAAGTGTAGTCCGGAACATCTGGTGGGCACCATATTGGGGAAGACTGCCTTCATCGCTAATGTCACAACAGCCCAAGCATGTGTGACTGGAGTAAACACACCTGCCCGCAGCAGCCTCCGTCTCCCTTCCCTTCGTCAGATCCTGGACCAGCTCTCCCCAGTGCTCCAGACGTGTTGGGTGCAACTCCCAACTTCCTGGCGAATCAGCAGATCTGAAGGGCACCAGGCAGGTTTAGTTAGAAGCTTCCCCATGTGGGACTCGGTGCTTCTTGTGCTTTGCAAAATACCACATGTCCCAAAGGGGTTAAAGAAACAAATCATACACTGAGGAGAACCGTGTGTGTGCTTTGAGGGAGAAGTTCAAAGGGGTCTTTTTCTCTTGCTCCCTATCATTGCCTGAATTGTGAGGAGCAGTTCTCTGCCCCCGCCCCTTCCCCTTGCTGCATCTCCAGGCTCCTGCAGTGCCTTCCATTGGTATATCCATCCAGTCAACCACCAAGTCTGCTTGCTTGAAACTTGCTCAGCTGACCAAGGGCAACCAAATCCTGTAACACCTGCAAAAACCCTGAATGTCATCTAGCAGAGAGACAGACTTCTCTCCCAAATTCACAGAGCTGGATGGGTAGAGCAGACTGAAATTCTCCCCAGCCCACAGTGAGTCATGAAGCTGGGCGCACATCCAGCACTTCCCGCCAGCTGCTTCCCCCTCCTGCACCAAGGGGGCCCTTCTGAACACCAGCCCAGACTCCTTGCTTGCTCGCTTTTGCTTCTGGTGACAGATCAGAGAGTGCCCAAAGAGGAAATGCTGCACAATGGCCGAAGAGGGTGGCTCCGAGGGAGGTGAAGAGGGGCGGTGCGGCAGAGATGTGCCTGGAGCAGGATGGCATCGGGAACCTGAGCGCTTGACAGCACTGCACAGACCTGGGACTGGGCCTGCATGGGGCGGGGGCCAGCTTGGGGGGTTTTGCTGACGGGATTTCTCTGCTCCTTCCCTACAGGCCGCCATCCGGAAGGAGCTGAATGAGTTCAAAAGCTCTGAGATGGAAGTCCACGAAGAGAGCAAGCGGTTCACACGGTATGTTCCCAGGGAGCCCAAATGGATTCCTTCTGTCCGTCTTCACCGCAGCGGATGAGGAGTGCTGGACAGCTTGACGAAAGCATCGGCCCGGCGATACTTTCTCAGCTGCTGTGAAGAAGGCACACTCCATGCTAGGCCTAATTGGGAATGGAATAGAAAACAGAGTTGCCCCAGGGATCTTCCGCATCCGATATGTATTTCTACCCTTGACTCATGGCCTGTGGGTTGAGCGTTCTAGCTAGTGGCAGCTGATGTTTTGCCAGGCCTTTGGCTTTTAAAATTTCTTTGCCATTTTGCTGTTTGCAGAATGATCTCTCCCTATGTTGAGGGGAGATTTTTTTTGAGGGGGGATTTTACTGTATATTACTTTGAGGTCCCTGACGGAGCAGAAAAAGCTGTATAAATACTTCTAATAAAGAGAAAAAGAGATATCTGACCCCATGGCTGTGCCCCGAGAACAATGTGATTTCCTCGATTTCTCTCGCAGGTATCATCGGCCGTGAATTCTTCTAAACAAAATCAACATGCCTGAGGTGGAGAGGATTTGCCATATCTGCCATTTCCTTCTCCTGTGCTGAAGAGGAACCTTGAGGCTCGCCTAAGATTTTGCCTTCATAACATATCCAGGAAATGACTTCCTTCTCCAAGGAGTGGAAAAGCACAGGGACGAACCTTGTGGAAAAGTAGCATTTCATTGGAAAGCGTTTGTCTGGAGTGCCATCAGATCCGAACGGGGGTAAAACAGACAGCACAATACCTCAGACGGCAGAGCAATACCCCGGCTTGCCTGTACACAGCTCGCCTGGCTCATCCTCGCTGTGGGCAGCTCCAGCACCTAGATGAATAATGGCCCATTTCTTCCTGCTCTTTGTAAATAGTATGTTTGGATCTGTTTAATATCCCTGCTTCAAGGAAGAAAGGTTCTGTAAGAGCAGGCTTTGGAGCCAGTGAGCAGGAAGTTCAGGTCTGTGTGTGTGAGCATCTGTCTGTTTGCACAGAAGAAACATAAGCATTTACTCTCCTAGTAGGAAACTGACACATTACAGAAGCCTTTCTATTTTATTTGTCTTTTTGATGTACTTAATATGCAGAATCACTACTGACCAATTTTTTATTGTCCTGCAGACGAATTGAACTGTTCTTTAATGGCATATGCTGAATCTTTAGGGAAGGGAGAACATTTTTTGATTTTGTTTTACAGTGAACAGCAACAGCTCCCCAAACTTGCCGTAAAGAGACCTCATTTTTTGTGTGTACGTGTGTGTGTGCACACGGGGCATATTTAGAGCCTGTTTAACAGGAACTGCAAAGCCTGAAATGAATTGTCTTAAGGAAGCAGTGGTGTGGAATATATTGTATTTTTTTAATCATGGCTTCCTCTTTTTAAAAAAACACAAATATTTCTAAAACTAGAGTGGAACTCGCCTTTTTTTAGTCATGTAGCAAAACTTGCTGAAAGTTTTACATTAAATATGCTTGAAAAGGACTTAAACCTGACTTTTAAAAAAAGAAGGAAAAGAAGATGAGATATGTGACGTCCCTTTCTCAGCTCAGAATAGTATAACCAGTCACGGGTGGTGTGTGACCCTTGGGTGAGAGGAGGGGAGGAGATGATAGAAATGGAGGCATGAGATGCGTTGGAAGAGGACGTTCTGAGTGTGACCACAGGTCTGGCTGTCTGTCACCTTTGTCACAAAAGGTCGCACCTGTAAATGCAGCATCACCGGTGAACGCTGTGCTGCTTCACAACACCCAGCATTTGAGAAAGGGGCCTACTGTGCGGCCCTCCCATTGTTTAAGCTTCTGGCAAGAAGGGTGTCCAGATGCAGGGCTCTTGCGTCTTGAACGGTTGTGTGAGAGGAGGCATTTCGGCAGGCACGGGTGGCAGCTAGACGCCTCGGCGGTTCGCCTCCCCTTGTGGCAGACGTGCCACTGATTTTACCAGGGACTGGCATCTGGCATAATCTGAATTCTACCCACTGTTACTTCCACACACACAGGCAGGCAAGCAGCATGTTGTTGCTGGCATTCTCTTCTCTGCCCAGCTTTGCTTCTGGTCGTCTCAGCAGGAAGTCCAGGGAAGGAAGGCATGGAAGACTCAGCCACTGCCTTCGTGTCTCCCTGCTCTCATTCCACCCTGCCCTAACGGCATTTCGTGAGCTTTTTCCCTAATGCAGCCCTTTCCTTGTGCTTGGGCTTTGTCTCAGGCAGGATGTTTTCCATGGGGTGGGGGGTGGGGGTCCGGCTTCGGCCTTCCAGTAGCAATTCCTTATAAAGGTGCAGGGAGAGATGCGGTCATTGTGGGAAAGGGGTGGGTGCCAGTGCACTCTCCCTTTGAACTGTTTTTTCATGGTGTATAAAATTTCTGTAGAGGAAATCATTGCATTGTATATCTGTCTTCCTACTGACAAGATTTTATGGAATAAATTTTTTTTAGAAAAGAGTTTTCTCTTAGTCTCTCCACTCCTCTGCCTCCCTCCCTGACTGACACAACTGCTGGTTACTTGCCCCTTCTGTGCATCCTTTTCCAGGTGAAAAAGGGCTTGCTTTTGCTGAAGAATAACAATTCAAGGTACAGATAGACTTGTCAGGAAATGGGAGGAAGTGGAGGGTGCTTGGGCCATGGACTCGGCTCCACTTCCACCCACTTTTGGCATATGTGAATCTTCCAAATCAAATACAGAAACTCTCTTCCTGATCATGTCTCATATTTGAACATCTCTCATGTCTCATATCTGAGCAGACATTCATTTGTACTTTGTTAAAAATAAATTTCTCCTACCCAGTTAACAAGGACCACTTGTAATCAAAAATTCCTGAAATTTCAGCATCCTTTAGCACTCTGTTTTGTGTGTGCTTGCGTGTATGAAACAGTTGATGAAGTAATGCGATTTTTAAAAAAATCACACAAACTTGCTTTGAAAGAGTGCCTGCAGCATGAGACAAGAGGACTGCAGTTTGAGTTCTGAGTAAAGGTACTTACAGCCTGGGCTGTAAATTTCACTTTACCTAAGAATACCAGGGCTCTAGTTAAATTTACAACATCCTCTCATCAGAAAACCTAACCTAGTCAGTTTCACAACCCAGCTAGCAAACTTGCTGGCTTGCTGAGTGAGTCAGAGTACATTGGTGTCCTGCACCAGTAGGGGGGTTAGACTTGATGGCCTTCATGGCCTCTTCCAACTTTAGTATTCTATGATTCTCTGTTTTCCATGCAGTTGATTAAGTGCAAGAAGCACTATTGATATAGGGTGTGAAATCTCAGACTTGAACACTGCCTACCATAAAAAATAGCATTTGAAATGGGGATTTATTATAGGATTCATGAATTTCATGGCCTGAGAAGGGGGCCAACAAAGACCTATTAAAATGTATCAAGATCAAGAAATAATAAAAGCCATAAGCCGCACAAAACTGGAATAGTTTGGTCATAGGGTGCGAAATGGGAAAGACAGAGGTTGCAACTGGCTGTCCATGGTGAAAAGTATAGGAAGAACTTGTTTAGAGACGCTACTTATGTACGGGAGGAACGAGAAGAAGCTATCAGCCACTTTGGGCAGCAGATGGCGCCCTTGTGCCGATTGACCACTTCTCGTCTTGAAATCCCGTCCTGCCGGCTCTGCTCTCATGCCGCTCTTCTTCCCCGCCTCTACGCATGTGCGCCACCAAGAGGAAGGATTTAGTCATCCTGAACTCAAACCTTTAGGTTCCCAAATGCGGCAAACATCATCCTCCATGTGCGGGCAAAAGCGGTGGCTGCATATGAATAAACGAGAAATTGAAAGAAGAAAATGCAGATAGAGACTTCACTCTTATGCTTTCAAATAATCATGACTCATGCATAGCAAATGTAGGAAAGTGCTAGCCTTTTCTGTGCGTTTCTGAGTTATTCCTACGCTTACGTTCGTTCGTACACTTGCCCCTCAGCATGGAACCGGAAGCGAAGGCTACGGAAAACTGTTTTTACTCCTCCCTCTTCTATAGAAATTATTTGGAGCATGCGCCTTGAAAGCCCCACGGCCGCAATATCCCGTCAGCACCTGCGTGGTATAAATTCCCGTGTCTTGCGCTCCAAGTCCTTTTCTGGCGCGTGGTGCGGAGGGTGAGTTGAGCTTGCTCGCGTGGCTGCATTCGGGGGCGGTGGTCAGTTTTGGAGAAAGTGGAAAGCGTGGTCCGGGAGGTTCATCCCGAAGCAGAAGTCTGTGCACCATGCCAAAGCAGAAAATATAGTGTTGCTGTCTAAATCCCATTTTGCTTTATTAACTCAATCAATTTCGCTTATTTTTTTAAAGCAACGTTGCATGGGGCAGGCATGCTTAGAGGCGTCTTTTCGTTGCAGTGAGTTAGTACGTTTTATGACGTCCCAGCCTGTTTGGGTGGTTCACGGCTCTTTCAAGTAAGCCGTTATGAAAGCCTGTGCAGTGGCTAGAGCGTTTGGCTGGAATTTCAGAGACCAAGGTTCTAGTCCCCACGCACTGGGCGACTTTGGGTCCGTCACGGACTTCATCTTAACTTGCCTCGCAGAGGATAAAGTTGGAGAGGTGGATTGTGTAAGCTGCCCTGGCTTCCTTGGAAGAAAAAACGAGATATAAATATAATGCAATCTCGTAAGAGTATAATTGGGCTTTTCTTTGCAGGACTTAACCTTTTTAATGTGATTTCTGATGGGCAGAAATTCAGCGCATGAGGATCAGATGTTTAGAGGGTTTACTTCATTCTACCCATTTTAAATGCCAAGTTCTGTAGCCAACTGTAGACCCACTTGATCGTTGCTCCATCTAACTCAGTTTTAGCTAGTATGCTAACCAGGATATCATGGGCACGTTGCAAAAAGTTTTGCTGTAGCCAAATTAGGTCACTCTAAGCCATGCATCTCCTGGTGGAGCATGAGTTGTGGCCCAAAACATATGGAGGGGAACGAAGTCTGGGAAGGCTGTTTGCTGGATGCATTATAGGAACCTAATAGGCACTTATGTTCTTTCAGTTGGGAAGCACTGAGGCCCTCATGCTGTTGAAGAGGTCAGCACATTTGAAGATGTCTTGTCTTTGGAATTGTCCAGGTATTGAACATTCCTTCCACCTTGTGGTGTTGTATGTTTGTCTGCCTTGAGCAGCTGTGCTCTTTGAAGAATACTGGGAATTCAGGCCAACATCTCTGGAGGGCTCCAGGTTGAGGAAAGCTGTTTGGGGGCAGCAGTTTCCTAGCCTCTAATTTGCAGGGTTCATCTTTTATTTTGTCCAGCAAGCCTATATCTGTTGATGCAACCTTATGCATGCTTCAGCAGAAAACAGGCCTACAATTCCCAGCATTCCCCAACCAGGTCTGCGTCCTGTCATCCAACGGGGATACCTGGAGAGGTCGCTCTCTCTCAGCTCTGTCCGTGTGGCGTATGGGAGCGCAGGCCGTCTGGGCTCTGTGGCGTATGGTCCCCTTCCACGCCGTTGGAGAGCGAGCCGGACCCCTCGTGGTCTGCAGCCTGCATATTCCTACTGCTTCTCTGAGTCTTTGGACAATGACTGAGGAGATAAACCATGCAGGAGACATGTCTTTGCTCAAGTCTTTCTTATTGTACATATTGCCTTGTGCTGGTGGAATCATAAAAAGTTGTCCATCCGGCACTTGTGAAACCTTTGGAAGCATGTCCAGCTGCCTTCCAAGCTCTATTTCCCCCTTCTTGAAGTCCTGAATGCAAGAACATTGCATCAATAGTTAACCCAGAACAAGCGTTCTGCCCCTTTTACTGTTCATATAGGTGAGACCTAGTGTTTGAATTGCTATATTTGAATAGAATTGAAGCATGGCATGGGGCAGGGGGAACCGCCTCTCTTGTAAGGAAAGGCCTTGTCACAATAGTGCAACGTTTCCAGCGTGGCAAAAGAGGATCTCTGGATGCAGCCCACCTTGGGAACGCTCCGGGCAGTTCCAGTATGAGAAGTGTTGTATTAATCCGTCGTGCGATGCTGTGCTTGCCTTCCAGTAGCTTTGAAAGTCCCCCAGCATGTGCGGTTGGAATGGCAGTATATTCCTGAAATAAGCGTGCGATGTTCCTGAAGTTCAAGGTATTTATGAGAGTACTTTCCCTATTCTCCTTGCATGTTCGATTTTGTTCAGAGCAGTTTGTGCTCTCTTTACTTTGAGGCCTTATTGAAAGCAAGCCTTCTGTTCTTGTATTGAGGCTAAACATGTTTCAAAGCATAAAATATGCCGACTCTGGAACCTGCGGGCATTGAGGCACATTCCTTCCACCCTGTGGTGTCGATTTTTTGTGTGTCTTGAACAGTTCAGACCAACACCCTTGAAGGGCACCCAGCTGAGGAAAGCTAATTTTAGAAAACAGTTTCCTGGCCCCTCCAATCTGCAGGTTTCCTCTTCTGTCCAGCAAGACTATCTGCTGATGCAGTCCTGTAGTCCTGCAGTTCCCAGCATTCCCCAACCAGGTCTGCGTCCTGTCATCCAACGGGGATACCTGGAGAGGTCGCTCTCTCTCAGCTCTGTCCGTGTGGCGTATGGGAGCGCAGGCCTTCTGGGCTCTGTGACGTATGGTCCCCTTCCACGCCGTTGGAGAGCGAGCCGGACCCCTCGTGGTCTGCAGCCTGCATATTCCTACTGCTTCTCTGAGTCTTTGGACAATGACTGAGGAGATAAACCATGCAGGAGACATTTTTGTGAACTTGAATTGGGACGTTGAATTAAAGTCTCTCTTATCTCGCTCTCTGTGTTCTTAGCCTTGGTATTTTTATTTGAGGAATAACATGAACACTGCATGGTCAGTCAGGTTACATAATTTTGGAAGAGTTAATGTTTTATTTGCTTTGGATTTTTGTTTTTTTGAGGTTTTTTTGTTTAAAGGAATCACTAGAATTGCTAATTCTTTCCTCTGCTTTTAGGCATTCATCCACACTGGAAAGTTCTCACAAAGTCCTGCCAGGTGCTTTCCCAAAAGCTCAAGCAGCCACAGAGGCAACAAGGACAGAACAGGTGAACAGCGGCAAAAGAAGGAGCACTCCCGTCCACCTCATGGTAGGGCAAGCACTGAAGTACTGCACCCTGAGAAAATTACTCCGAATGTTTGCTTCTCCCCACACTTTTAGGGTGCAGTTTCTTTTGATCCCATGCCCAGCAAATACTTGAAAAGAAATAGTTGAACAATTTTGTTTTGAGATTGTTTGAAGGAAATTAACATAGTGCTGTGACTTGTACTGCTTCCTTGAGTTTTCAAACCGTGACTTGAGTCGTTCAAGCAAAACTGGATTGCATTAGATAATAGATGCTGTGCTAATAAGAGTTGCAGCATTCTGACAACACACACACTTAGAAGCTGGGCATTAAAATTGGAGGTGTTCACTGCAGTGCCAGTGTGTTAATGTTGTGCTTTCCTAACATAAATGCTAGCTGTGCAGGCAGGGGCTTAACTTTGAGATCTCTCTCCCCCTCCCCCTCAATGCGCAAGGTTATCTGCTCTGATTTAGGACAGCTCCTGAATGTTTGGTAAAATTGAGGTTCTTGCTTCTTGCAAATGCATGTCTTATTTCTCTGAGGCGCAAATGAAAGCTAGTCTGTGTTGATTGTAGATGGAGGGAAAATGAACCAAAACATCCTGATTATATTTTTGTTCTTTATCAGGTCACTTAAAAGAAAAATGGAGACTTGGGAAGATGGTCAGAGGAAAACCAAGTTACAGCTGAGGTGCAGAATGAATGGTTCTAGCAGGAATGTAGCTAATTGCTGGCATTAATGAAAGAGAACTACATTAGTGCAAGACTGAACATTAAGTCTTTACCAGCTAAAAAGGAAAATGGTAATCTTGAATATTTTTCTGATGGAGCAAGTCTCACAGCAGCAGCCTGAGTGATGGAAACAAAGCAGTGAGATCTGTGATGTGCCATCAGTAGTGTGTGCTTTGCACATGCATTGAACAAAAGTTCTTTAGCATGGCGAGCAGGTTAGCAGGCAATGCAAAAACTACATCCTGAGATAGGAACAAAATTCTGCAGAATTTGACTACTGTGTCATAATTTGAAAGTTGCAAGAAACAATATGATTTCAGCCTTTGATTATACCTGATCATGTTAAGATTTAAGAGATAACATGAAAAATTCCAATAAAAATGTATTCTTCGAATGTTTGCTTTATGGTTGACTTGTGTCTCTGACTGCCTTGGGAATTGTCATTAGAGAATCTGGTACTAAGGTACAAGAATCTCTGGTGTACTCCAAAAAAGGTGTACAGTACCAGGTATCTAAAAGTAAGCTGCTATTGGCTAATAGAGCAGTTGGGAGGTTGCGCTAATTTTGGAGATTTGCTTTGACCTTTTAGGAGGTTTTGTGCTTCCAGAACACCCTCCAAAGCCTCTACCTAGTGTAGGGATAATTGTGCTGGCTGTGTGAGGTCAGAAGTTTGACCTTGGGGACTGGGGCTCAGGGCATGAGACGGGATGGAGACCAGTCCCACAGTAACCTAGCTGGTCCTTGGCCTTTCCTCACTCCGGAGGGCTTTGGTCAGACGTCCGAAATCGGCCGAACATGGGAGGTGCAGTGCTGCTCCTACCCTTGGGATGCGAGTAGGTCCCTGAGGTCAGGGACGCAGGTCAGCCTAATTCTAAAGCCAGTGGTTTGGTCCCTCTTGGTATGATTTGCGGTTAAGCTGGCTGGCTTGAGACCCAGGAAAGGAAGTTGGATTCAGTCTTCTGCTGGGTAAGTGGCTAGTTGCTGCTAATAGGGTTGCCTTTCCCCTGCCATTTTGCATGGTCATTTGAGGTGCTGCCCTCATCTGACTTAATCAAAAGTGCTTGAAAGCATGCGCTGCTAATTCAGTGCCTGGCAAGAGCACCCAGCCTAAACTTTCATCCTGGGCTGGCAGGCAGGCCTGCTGCTGGACGGGGCGAAGATTCTACCTGGCGCCCAGGGCTGGTGGGGAAGAAAACCCCTGACCCTTTAGCACCTCCGCCAGCTGCCCCTGCCCAACCACCTCCACTGCCTCCAGAAAACCATGGGTGCGGAGGGGAAGTGCCTGGCCTTTTCCCCCCAGCAGTTGCTCTTGAAGGGTTTATAACATTTCTATGCCACACCCATTGCTGAAGCCTTGGGGCGGCTCACAAAGAAAACAAAGCATAGAATAATATTAAAAATTAGGAGTTTCTCAATATAAAACCATTAAAGCACCGATTAACAAAATGTCGTTTAAATAAAAAGGTCTTGGCCTGGTGACAGCGCCAGGCGGACCTCTGGGGAGCGCATTCCATAGGTGGGGCACCACCGCAGCTTGTGAATCGTTTAAGGGGCAACCAGATACTGCAGGCTAATGGACGGCAGGCAGGGTAAAAGTACCATTGGAAGGAGAGAACATTGATAACACGCTTGCCTGGTGGTTCTGTCAACGGGTAAATTGGAGAGCAGTCTGAGCTACCCACAATCCCTTTGTAATGTAAGGTTGCCCTGTAATGAAACCAGTCATGGCTGGGAGAAGACCGTGATCCCAAGGGCAGAGACCTTCCCAGCTGCCAGTTGTGTTGAGCAGGTAGAGGAAAGGGTGAGGGGCTGCTGTGGCTGTGATCCCCTTGACCAGGTACTCTGATGGAGCTGAAGTGCATCCAGTCGGTGTCCAGAGACAGTCTGAGGAATTTGCTGGTGTATAGACCACCTTGTTGCCTAGCAGAATCTCTGGCCCAACCCTCTAGGAGTTGGTGTTGGCTTCTCCAGGGGGATTTCAATGTTGCTTTTGAGTCCAGTTCGCCTGGTGCTGCAGCCCGCCATGGGCCTGTCCCCATTCTCTGGACCCACACATACCGCTGGGCACACACTTGGTTTGCTCGGAACAGCTGGTTTTGAAGACTAAGTTTCTGCACTTGGTCTTGGTCAGATCATTACCTGGCCGAGACGAAGATCACAGCCCCTGTAGAAATGATACACCTATTAGAATGGTCTACCTCTGCAGCACTTGTCCATCCAAACGGTTTCCATTCAGCCCTAGGGGATCTCCGGCCAGTTTTCCAGTGGTCCTCTTGGGTCCGTAGTCACAAAATAGAATCGGGCATTGACTCGGGCCTTAGGCACAATTGCTCCTGGGTGTCCTCTGTCCATGTCCTCTGGCGTGCAGAGGACCTCTGACGCATGAAGCAGGAAGACCCGATGGCAGAAATCCAGGCTCTTCTCCAAGAAAACACTTGACAAGCCTCTTCACTCCCTCGGGGTGGTGATAAGAGCAGTGAAGGAGGGTTGCTTCTCTGCTCCTATTGCAAGCTGCAAACGCATCCCTTTAGGCAACTTTGTTCTGGGAAAGAATACTTGGAATAAAGCAATCTTGAGATTGGGCTGTTAGTGTGTTGTTCAGTTGCAAAGTCGTGTCCGACTCTCCACGATCCCATGGATGACGAGGGCACCGCTTTGACACAACTGCGGGGATTTTCCTACCCGGAAAGCTGATTTTTGTAAGTTTGCGGTCTATACCAGGGAAAGAGCAATCCTACACATCAGGAAGGAGGAATGTGAGACGAACTCCCACCAACCTTGGTCATGTTGGTTGGGTTTGGAGTCCAAAAGTATTTGAAGAGCTTGTCAGTCTAGGTCCCTGTGATACGCATTCACCACATCCAAATCAATGGGCAATGAGTGAGTAAACAGGATTCGCACCATTATCCTGCTTTGGAGGGAAAATCCCCAGCACTTCTCACGTTACCCTCAAAGCACAATAATCCTACATGGTTCTAGCCGGACGGAGGCTCCGCTGTGCTTTTTTCCAGGTAGTGGTGCTTAAGGATTCCAGTTTAGCACATTCGTTGCTATGTAAGGCGATTTCCTGGGCTAGATTTGAGCCTGCTGCATCAGATGCAAGGAAGCAATTACGGAAGTTATATATAATAATGCACGAATAAAACCCTATTGCTGGGCTACTGACGTTGGGAGCTGCGCGCGCCCGCGCGGGGGGGGGGTCCCTTCCTTTCCAGGTTAATTAGTAAGTCCAATAAAAAGGACACGTGTCCGTGTTGACCCTAAGGAAAATTCCCAAAGCCATATTGGTATATTATTTTTATTACGCCATCCGAAAGATCATCCCGTTCCCCCAAATGTGCAAGTTATCCAGATCTCTTCCATCAGCATGATATAAGAAGCAGTTGATAGCGGAAGGAAGGGGGAAAGCCCCCCACCCCCGCTGACTCGTTATTGTAGTGTGTGGGGGAGGGGAAAGTGAGCTCCTCCTCCTCCTCCTCCTCCTCTTTTCCTTCTGAGCTGCAGGCGGCGCTCCGGAGCAAATCTGCTTCCACCTCTTTTCCTAGCCAATGATATCCGCGCCGGGGAGGGAACCTTCGACGCGCATGCTCCTAAGGATCAGGACTCCTGGTGTTGTGTTGGGGGGTGGGGGGAGGTTACTGAGAGAAGACTTGCTAGACTCAGAAGTGGCGGAGCGGTGAATTGGCAAAGAACGAGGTGAGTCTCCTAGTGGCTGCGTGGAGGCGGGGCGTGTGGCCGGGAAGGCGATAGCCCTGGAGACTTCACCCACGGAATGGGGAAGCTGCGAGCTTTGTCCCCCCCCCCCCCGGCACCACGCCGCTGCCCCCTCTTCCCGCTGGGCTCTCGGATCGTTCCGCTAAGTTATCCAAGAAGGGCGCGCCCGGCCTCGGGCCCACGTGGCTTGGCGGAAGTCGGCGGTCCGAACGTTCCACGGATGGAACGCGAGGTAGCGAGCTCGCGTTCCAACGGGGCGGGCGGGCAGGCGGGAGGGGAGGGCGCGCGCTCCTAACGTTCCCCGGGAGCAGGAAGAGGAGCTCGCGGAGCCTCGCGCGGGTCCGGTGCCCGTCCAGCCGCTCGCTCTGCGGACGGGCCAGCGCGGGAAATTCAAACCCGGCTTGCTTCCTCGAGAGAGATGGGAAAGGGGAAAAGGAGGAGTGAAACATGTGCATGTGTGCGCGCTTCGCTCGCGGGATTGCATTTAACGTCGACCGTGCAGGGCTGGGGTTTTTCTTCTTTAATTTTAAAAGGTGAGGGAGGTGACAGTTTAACGGGTGATGCAGACAACGGGCAGTTCAACACGCCATCCTGTGCAGGTTTAGACAGAAAACGGAGGGTCTGCAACGTGCAGCCTTCTCCATCTAGGGGAAGGCTGCCCATTGTAGGACCTTTTTCTTGCCTGAACGCGGGTGCCTGAGCCAGTATGGCCGGTTGGGGCACTCTGGAAGTTGTAGGAGTTTTTCTTTCTCTAAACATGTACAAGATTGCAGCTGAAGAAACTTAATTATATTGTTAGGATGATCATGAAGATGCGTTGTCAAAATACTGATGGTAATTAATAGATGCTTTTCTCAAAAACCAAAAGGCTCAAGGTGACTTAGAACAGAACCAAAACATAGCGGAATAATACCGAAATACTTGTTCCAGAATAGATTCGTGAGTCTTTTGGATTCTGCAAAGTTCTTTGCTGTTTTTGCCACAATAAACCAACAAGACTACACTGTAGAAAGTGTTGCTTGGAAGTGTGTCCCATGGAGTTTGGTGGGACTTGCTTCCAGGTAAATGGGTGCCTAGGAGGTCCAGGGGTGCGTTTTCTCACCCATGCAGTGCAGTCCCATGCACATCTGCTTGGAAGTCTGTCCCATCTGGCATGATCAACTTACTGTGCAACTCAGGCCCTTCTTTCTCTGTTTCCTGGCAGGGCTGTGGTGCATCCAATGGCTGTGTGACAGGTGGAACTCCCGACAACTGTGCTGTTCGTTGGCTTACATGTTCCCCTGCCCCATATTTCGTCCCAATGCTGATTCCTTTGCGGAATGCGGTGATGCAAGTGGCCAGAGGATTTTTTTAGGTACTTCTGTGTGCATTACATTTTAGTTGCAAGATGTATTTGTTTGTTTGACTGCTGGCCTCTGAACGCTTCTCCTTCTGATCTCCCACACACATTATTTTTTGAGCTATTTGCTGGAGTTCCCAGTACAGAAACTTTCATGCAGTGATGCATGGCAGTGCCACAGCACCATCTCTCAGTGGCAGAAGCATGACCCAAATTGACCACATTGTATGTGTGACATCTCCTGATTAAGCTGGGAAACACCTCTTGCCTGAAACCTTGGAGAACCATTACACATCACAGGAGTCAATACTGAGCTAGGCCAGGGTCCTGAACCTTTCTGGATCAGTGAGCATATTTAGGAATTTGAGAAACTGCTGTGGCACCACCACAAGATGCATAACTGGTGGACTGATGCTTTGGCATCCACCTGTCACATACCTGGATCTTAGGCTGGGTCTTATTCAACAAGGCTGGCTGGCTGGCTGGCAGTGAAAGAGACTAATGTTGCTTTCATAAGGGATTGTCTCATTTGGCTAAATTCTGGCAGTGGTTCTTTTAAGCATATCTTTTCAGAACAGCCAGTGGTTGCTTCTTTTGGGGAGAAGCTTATTAAACGGATGTATTTCATATTAGAACAGTCTTTAATATTCACTAATGTACATACCCTTTCTATTTCATTAAGATTAGGAAAAGGGATTAAGAAAAGGAAGGGGAGATGGGTTTTCTGTACTCCTTTAACACTCTAAAGACTGTTCTTCCAACATTGGAAGTACAAATGTTCACCTGTAAAGCAATGGATGAAGGGCTATACCGTCCTTTTGTTGTAAGATGCTCCTCTTAGCTTCTGCAGAAATACCCTGCTAGTATGAATTAAAACCAAACAGGCAGCAGGATTAGTGGCATGCAGGAAAGATGCTTCCCTGCCCTTCCACATGGAGGGGATATTGCACCGAGCAGTGACTTGGGAGCATTGTTCAAAGCAGCCTGCTCCATCTTCATGCTGTCCAGAGAACAGGTCCTGGGGCCTGGGGTGGATGGGAGCTGTAGGCCAAGACAGTGCTACAGATTTAAACTGTTCTGATGCACACTTCTTATTCCAAGGGAGTTCTGAGTTTATAGTCCAGCAGCTGAAAATCTCTGAAAGAAGAATTCTCAGCAGTTCACCAAACTTAATTTCTCAGCCTTCTTTGCAGGAAGGTGCAGTAATTAAAGTGGCATTAAACCAGGACTGCAAAGCGTATGGTCTTAATCTGGCCTTACAGAAGTTATGCATTTGGCTTTGTGAAGCTTCCTTAGGTATTTCCATGGAGTGGGCTTAGCTTCCAGACCCCTTGAACCCAGGAGCCGTCTGCCCTGCATTAAACTGATGAAAATGGCATAAACTGGTGATGGAGATTTGACCCAAGGTAAACAAGAGTGCAGTTCATTTGGTTCTGTGAGGGGATCCATGCAAGTCTATCTGACATTCCCGCTCTTGCATCATTTGCAAAATGGAATCTGGTGCATCTCTGGTCCATTCTTATGAGATGGAGACTCTTCTTCTTCTGTAATTGAAAAAACAGGCTTTGAAAATGTGCTTGAAAATATTTATTCTTGGAGGCCCAGGAATTCCAGGCCACCCTGGAATAGGTATAGTTTTCTATTATCTATTTTGAATTATAGTTAAATCAAGAAGTGGTGGTCCATTTTATGTAATTATGCAAGCCAAGCAAAAGCTGTAAAAATAGTTTGCTTTGCACAACCCAGAATTTGGGGTGGGGCGGTTCCATCTTGACCAGCTTACAGCCTCCCGCCCCCAACATCACTGCATTTGGTATGAATGCAAAATGTCAGCAGACTTGTTTTCCTGCATTCTGCCAAGTAGATCAAGCAAAATTCTTGCTCCATTAGTTTTGATCTTTGCCCCCTCGTCACATTATTCACACATTATCCCCCTTCACTAAATTTGAAAGAAGTGTGCATCGAAGCACCTCTGAAGTACATGCATTGAAGCATTTTTCTGATACTGCTTGCCTGATTTTAAATTCCCTTTTAATATAGCAGTTGTCCTCTTGGCTTTCTCTGACTTTCTGAGGCGTAGCTGAACCACTGAGAGGACTGAACAGGTGGTCCTGGGGCAGGGAGTGCACTGTGTGTAATAATGCCCTTTTCTTTGTCAGGCACATGGCAAATGGTCAGGGGGAGATATGAAACAAGGGAGCCCTTTGACTTCTGAAATCTTTTCAGTTAGGGCCCAGTCATATGCATGGCTAGGTAAGAAGCTCCTCTAACTCCTAGAATTCTGTCTAGACATGGCTGGACGGGGTACAGTGGAAGCCGTAGGACTCTTTTCTGCCTGCCTGGGTTGCACTCTTTTTCTGGCTGGATGGAGAATGCTGGGAATTGCTGGACCTCTGCACTAGCTGGCTGGGGAATGTTGGAAGTCACCAGACTTTTCTTCTGTGAAACTTAGCCGTTGTGGCCACTCCATTGATGTCAATATGAGCTGGGGGCTCTTGGGGGAGCTGCCTTGGTCACGTGTTCTGATTCAGCAGGGTTCCTCACTCTGCTGCAGTTGAGGAACAGAAGGTGCTCTTGGATCGCAGAAACAGTTTGGTATACGAAGGGCTGGAAAAAAATAAAATGGAAAAAAGGAGGGACAGAGCAGGAAAAAAGTAACAATTCATTCCCTTGGGTTTCTTCCATGTGACTTTTTAAAAAAATGTTAGATTTTATTTTACTTTTTACCATGGGGTTTCTCCCTATTTTTACTCCAGGCCTTCATATTTCTAGCTACAGTCTAATTTTGCACCCCCTTTAACTTCTGGGAAGCCTCCCAGCAGGGAGAGAGGAGGAAAATCACCCCGCCATTGTAAATGGTACTCAGTGACTTTCTACTGCAGTCTTATGCAGACCAGTGTTTTCGCTGGGGATTCATCCACCTGCTTCTTTTCTCCTCCCCAGCTTTAAAGAAAAATGCCAAGAAAACGAGTGCTGGAAAAAGACGATGCTCTCAAAGTGAAGCGGACTAAAGGTGAGCTGGCACTTGGCCTTTTGCTCCAACATGCTATGGGCATTTTCTGGTTCCATCCACTTTGTATGTGTGTGTTTGAAATACCACTGGAGCTTTGATGTGCTGCTCTTGGTGCTTGTGAATCGAAGGTGTGTGTGATGGACCTGCGTGTATGAAGAAGGGTCTCATAGCATGTAAAGGAGCATCACTTTTCATTTTCCTTTCATGGTAAAGTGTGGGGACTGGATGGGGGTCATGACTTGTGGGTAACAAGGGGGCTGCACTGTCCAACCAGCAGCTTTTTTTTTTCCCTTGAAATTTGCTTAATGAAATAACTAAGTCATAAAGGAGGCATTTCAAATTTTAAATTGTATAAAAGCCAAGAAACTGACAAAGGATTGGCCATCAGGGGGAAGGGGATGAAGCCAGATAAGGGGGCATGGTCATTTGGGGAACTCTGAGGGCCAGATTTGGCTGTTTGGCCTGAGGTTCCCCAGCCTTGCTCTAAAAGCACCATGTACACTAATGATGAGACATACTTTATTGTTTGCATCATTAATCACTTTATTGTCTAGCGATCCAAAGTAGTTTTTCTCTCCATCCTGTCTTGGGCGGAGCATTCTGCGCATGGCTCATCCAAGCATTCCCCTTGAATTTGCAGGTGACTCAGAACTTTCTGAGTGACTCTTTAAGGAGGTATTTGCTTAAAAAGTTTGAATAGCACTTGGGTGTTTTCCAGCCCTGCCGTCTTACGATTTTGTTGTTGTGGTCTATTCATTTGGATTTCTAGGTGTTTAAAATCATGCTGATGCTGGCTTGCATTCTGCTTTGATTTCTCTTTTACAGAAATAGGCAGGATATAAGTTGTATCAGTGGGAAAAGTGACATTGAATTCAATGGCCTTGCAGCCACGGGGCTGTGCTGATTGAATGTCTCTTCCTCTTTCCAACCCCTTCCGCCTGTTCTCTTCCCAGTCAGCCATCACTCCCACCAAATAGAGTCTGGGCTGGTGTTGACGCTGGGGCAAGGTGATCTCGGGCAGCTGGGCCTTGGGCCGGACATCCTGGCACGGAAGAGGCCTGCCCTGGTGAAGCTCTCTGAGAAAATCATCCAGGCGGAGGCAGGAGGGGTCCACACCGTGTGCCTCAGTGAGACGGGCAAGGTGAGTCTGGAGGGACGGTCGCCATCCTCTTTCCAACCATCAGCTGCTGGCGTAGTTTGTCTGAGCCACCAGGCATTTTGCGGCAGGGACTTGTCACCCTCTGGAAGATGACAGATCCCATCATCCGCGGCCGTGGGCCATGCTGGGCTTGGGTTTAGGAAAGTTGTAGACCAGCACTTCTGCTTGCCTGCCCCTGCTTCAGAGTGTTGGACATACGGACATAGCCTACTTTGCTGTCTAAGTCACCATGTCAGTGGGAAGGGAAGTGGGGAAGAAGGGAAAGGGTAATCGAGGAGATAAGAGCTTATCTCCTTGATTTGAAGTATTTTTACGCTACTTCTCAGTCAGAAAGGCTGCCAAGGTTGCCAAAATATTGCAGTTAGGCTAGACAATCCCTCCATGCAGGCTTATGATCGGAAAAGATGCAATGCAGAAGGAAGGAGGGATGGGGAGGGAAGAGGGAAAAGAATAATTCAGCCGGAAGCCCCGCTTCCCCTCTCGTCTCCCTCTGCGCAGTCTGTTGGAATGGTTGCTGGTGTGATCCTGGACTGGGAGGGCGTTGAGACTGGCTGGCCTGGAGTTGACCTAAGGGATTTGTCCGTCTTGTGCCATTTGCAGCGGGATGGGGTGGGCAATTTGAACTGGACTGTTTGAACCTGCAAGCGGGGATCGTAGAATAGTAGAGTTGGAAGGGGCCACGAAGGCCATCAGGTCCAACCTTGTACTGTTGCAGGACACCAATTTATACCACTCAGATGGCTGTTCAGTTTCTTTCTGAGTGTCTCCAGTGTGGGAGAGCCCCCCACCCCTCTAGGCAGCTGGTTCCACTGTCGTATTGCTCTGACAGTGAGGAAGCTTTTCCTGATGTCCAGCCTGAATCTGGGTTATCGCAACTTGAATTGATTATTTGGTGTCTTGCACTGTGATATCAGCAAGAAGAGATCTTGACCTTCCCCTGTGTGACAGCGTTTGGGGTACTTATAGAGGGATACCATGCCCCCCCTCAGTCTTCTCAAGGCTGAACATGCCCAGTTCTCCCAGTTTCTCCTCATAGGGCAGTGTTTCCAAACCCTGGATCATTTTTGTTGCCCTCCTCTGGACCCTTCCTAATTTTACTGCATCAAAATGCCTCCTTGTTCTTTTTAAAGCCCCTGACCCTCCAAGTACAAATCGGGATGTGAAAAGTGCGCCAGGGGAAACCACCCCTGCCCAAAGCCCCGGGAGGCCCCAGGGCTGTGTGTGTGTCGGTGTGAACATGTGTGCATGCAGCCCCTCGTCACTTCTTGATGGGAACTCGCAGGCAAAAAGGGTGCGCAACCCTGGTCTAGATGAACATTTTGCCCTTGCTCTGATTTTCTGAGTGTGGGCCATTTAAAAGAAGCAAAACACCCTCAACTTTGGAAAGTACTGGAAATGTGATTTCCAGCCTCCCTCGGCCGCTCAGCCCCCCGCTTCCATCTGAAGTGGCCTCCTGCTTTTTAGTGCTTCATTGGGCTGGGTAGGGAGACGGCCTGCAATGACGTGCGACCGGTTCAGTGCATATTTCTGGAGAAAAGCATGTGGGGCGGCAGCCGTGGAGAGCCGGCAGCTGCTGTCTGGCTGGAGCAGGGGGGGCTGCAGCTGCTTTCGTGCTGGTGCCAGGCTGCCCCTTCTGTCCCTGTGCCGGGGCCTTGCCGCCCAAGTTGGCAGGGCTCCCGAGTCCCCCCCCCCCGGGTGGCTTCAGCTGGTGGGTGGCTCCGTCTCACAGGCCCAGAGCCCACCTAACCACTGTCCGTAGCCTGGGCTTGGTTTTTAACGCTTTGGGGTTGTTCGCCAGCAGCTGTGCATGCTCATGGCTCAGTCTTGTGCATGTGTAGATAGGAAAGCGGTGAGAAAGGAAAGGGGGGCGTTGTGGGGCTTGGTTGGGCCTAAACATGCACAAGCGTTCTCCCTTCACTTGCTCTCGAGGGCAGTGCCCTTAAGACGTGACAGGTAACTCAGGCGAAATGCGAGAAGGCAGCCAGCATAAAATTATGTAAGCAAATTACATCCGCTCAGAGAAGGACTCTTTTGCGAATGAAGGGGCAAGTCCATGGGAAGGGAGGTCCTCCGTTTTGGGGCCATCACTGAGAAGTCTCAGTCCGCTGGCATCCCCAACAGCTGCTTTCCTGCCTGTCTTGCTTTTCCCTCTAGGGCAGTTGTTCGACCATGCATTTTCCAGATGTTTTGGGCTACAGTTCCCACAATCGCTTACCCTTGGTTATGATGGCTGGGATGATGGGAGTTGTAGTCCAAGATATTTGGCGGGCTGGAACTTGCTCACTCCTGCTCTAAACAGATAGTGGTGGTAATGTCCTGCTTCTGTCCGAACTGCTTGTGGGCTTTGGTCCGTCTGTTGATTTCTTTCCCCAGGCTTCCCATTTCACAGTGTAGCTTGCTCTCTCCCTCCCTCCCCCCAGATCTACACCTTTGGGTGCAATGACGAGGGTGCCCTGGGAAGAGACACGTCAGAGGAGGGGTCTGACTCTGTGCCGGGGCTCGTTGATCTGAAGGAGAAGGTGGTGCAGGTGTCGGCCGGGGACAGCCACACGGCAGCCTTGACGGAGGATGGACGTGTTTTCATCTGGGGCGCTTTCCGGGTATGTGGTCCAGTTTTGCTTGAGGAGGGAGGTGCACTTTGGCTCTCTGTCCCTAGTAGCCCATTGGCCATGTACAAAATTGCACATGGTGTAAAGGAGGAGACCTTTTTCTCCTCCTCTTGCATCGCAATAAAACCAGGGCCAGGGCCATCCTTCGAAGCTGATTGTTAGGGGATTCCGGACCGATAAAGGCAAGGACTTCCTCAGACAACACGCAATTAAATGATGGAATTCCCCTCCGTGTGATGTACTGATGGCCATCCATCTGGATGGCTTAAAAGCGGGTTGAAGACATTGCTGGAGGAGGAGGAGGAGAGCAGTGGCTGCTAGCCCTGGGGCTGCCTGCACCCTCTGCTCTCAGAGCCGCGGTGGCTGTGTGCGCGAGCCGCAGGGGCAGAGGGCGCCTTGCTGCCGTGTGAACAGCACGCCGGGCTAGGTGGGCTCTTCCCGCACTCTTGCATTGCCTTCTCTTGTGCCTCTGCACACCTCAGGACGAGAACGGCGTCATCGGCTTGCTGGCGCCTACGAAGGGCCAAGAGCACCTGGAGTCCGCAAACGGTAGTGCTTTTCCGGTGGAGCTGCAGTTGGACGTGCCAGTTGTTAAAATTGCCTCAGGTGAGTGATGCAGGGCAGCTGAGTCCGAGGGCTCTCCTGTGGCCCTCTTAGCTCAGTCTTGTCCCTTGCAACCTTCCCCAACGTGGGGCCCTCTAAAAGTTCCGGACTGCTGCTCCCACCAGCTACGGCCAGCATGGCAAACGAACTGAAGATGGTTTGGGTTCTGTTGCAGCAGTGCTGGAGGACTGCAGGTAGGGAAGCAGTGGTTTACCTCAACCGGCAGCAATGTGCCAGGGGTCCAAGGAGGTGTCTTTTCCCCCTGCACTCGGGATTGGCAGGGATTGGACTGGGGGCTCTCTGAATGCGAAGCGTGTGATCTCCTACTGAGTTCTGGCCCTTCTTTCTGATCATGGAATGTTGTCTAGGTGTACACATGATTTCCATAAGGCACACCTGAGTGTATTAAATGGCAAGATCCTGCAATGGCTGAACGTTCCTTTCTTGGTGGCGGAAACAGTGCATGGGATGTGGAGGGTTCGCTGTGAAGCCATTCCTTGTGTGCTCTCCCTCGGGTCTGTGCTGCAGCGTGATGGCAACGGCGTTTTCTACTGCCCGTTCCCAAATTCAATTTCTGTTGTGGCTGCTCCTCCGTCTTCCCTCGCAAGCAACTACAACTGCACTTCAGAAGCCTAAATTCTTCCCTGAAACTTGCCAGTAGACAGACTTGCCCCAGAATGGAATCTCACAAGATGCGGGAGTGTGGAGAATAAACAGCGAAAGCAGACTCTTGAGCCTTCACTTTCTCTTCTCAGGTAGCCATCACTTAGCTTTAGTGTCCACGGCTGGCAGCCTTTACACCTGCGGTTGCGGAGACAACGGCCAGCTCGGACGTGTGCCCCAAGTCTTTGCGGTCAGAGGAGGAAGGAGAGGGCTGGGTGAGTGGCTCGGCGTGAGATCGGCTCAGCAGTGGCTCAGTGTTTGGGGCAAACGGGGCGGTGACTCCCTGCCTGTCCCTGGCCATCTCGTGGCAGAGAGGTCTCCCTGTGGCCGGCACCTTGACTGCCCTGCTTCCAAGTGCCACGGATGCTCTTCTCCTGCACCCCTCTGGAAATCTCAGTCAAATATCCAGCACTTGCTCTGTCCTCTTTCCCACCAGTGCCAGCGGGCGTCAGCCACCGCTGGAGCGGGTGGACATTGTTTTGGAGTGGGCTGTGGCAAAGATAAATGTGTTGGGGTGGGGTGCTTGGTTTACTGTGGCCTTCCTCCTTCCAGTGCTTCGGACTACCAGTCCCATCCTTCCCAGCATGCTGTGCTGGCTCCATTAGCTTCCACAGGCACTTTGGGGAGTGGGCGCGTGATTTCCTTCCAGGCTTCGAGGGCTCCACAAGGATGGTGGAAGTCCGCTTGGAACAAAACCGTGCATACAAGTGATCTTAAGGCAGCTGAGAGGAGGCTGGGCCCGGTCTTGGGCATGGGCTGCCTCTTGACTGCTTCGCGGTGAGGCCTTTTGTTTTGGAGGGTTTTTAACAAAACATCAGCTGAGCTTAAGGCTGTGCAGCAGAGGCTGGAGAATGTCTTTGAGCCTTAAGGACTAAATTCGGAGGTGTTCTGGAGGTGTTCTTGGGGGATGCATTCTAGTGATAGGCAGGGACGGAGGCAAAGGGAGCAAGACCAAAATAGCACCAAATTTTAGCTTAAATGCTCTTACTGACTGGCCCTTTGCCTCGGGAGAGACCCTTGGAAGCACCAGCACAAGAGCAGGAAATCCACCCGATGGACTGGCGTGGAGCCATCTGGGGAAACTTGAGGGCTGGATTTGATCCCTGAGTTGGAGATTCCCCATCCCCACTGCAAGGGATTACTCCTCTCCGGCTGGGACCAGTTGTCCCTAAACCCCTTCCCGTTCCCCCTCCAGAGCGACTGCTGCTTCCTCAGGCTGTCACCATCAAGCAGAGAGGCTGCAAGACCAAGGGGCAGATCCGGGACGTCTTCTGCGGCTCCTACTCAACCATTGCCATCACCCAGGAGGGCCACGTCATTGGATTCGGCCTTTCCAATTACTACCAGCTGGGTGAGTTGCAGCCTGTGCGTTGATGGGGCTTGGGAGGTGCCCAGTGCCCCCGTCATAGCTGGGGACTGAATTCCACTTTTGGCAAAAGCCTTGATGGCTGCATTCCGGTTTTCTGTTCTGTTCAGTCGCACAGTCGTGCCTGACCCATCACAACCCCACAGACAACATTCCTCCTGTCCTCCACCATCCCTCGGAGTCCACCCAGGCCCACACCCACTGCCCCAGTGACCCCATCCAGCCACCTCAACCTCTGCCACCCCCTTCTCCTTTTGCCTTCAATCCTTCCCAGCATCAGGCTCTTCTCCAGGGAGTCCTTCCTTCTCATTTGGTGGCCAAAGTATTTGAGTTCATCTTTAGCTTTTGACCTTTTAAAGAACAATCAGGACTGATGGGAGAAAACACTTCACAAGAAGAAAACCATCAAAGAAATGGTGTTCTGGGGATGATCCATTTGGTGAACTTGGAGGGCCAGAACATGATCCGTAGTGGGCTGGATTTGGCCCGTGGGCCTTGCGGTTCAGCACCCCATAAGAAGAGCTCTTCTCCAAGGAATGTGCTATTGCAAATTGGGGGAGTGAGTGAGGACGGCTGGGTGGCTTCTCTTTGGCCTTATAAAAAAAAGGTAGGGCAGGGGATTGGCTTTCACCCGCTGTTTTGTCCTGCAAGGAAACAAGAGACAGCATTCCCTGCTCCAGGTGGATCTAGGCCAGTCTTCCCCAACCCCTCCCTGTCGGAAGGCACATTGCACTACAGATCCCATCCTCCTGCCAGCATGGCCAGTGGTCTGGAGCGATGGGAGTTGCTGTGCAGCAACAGCTGGAGAGCGCCAGGTGGAGGATACCCTCCCCTGCTCTGCTTCCCTACACACCTTCTCTCAGTGGGACCTGCCGTGCTCCCAGCCCTGTACCCCTCAGCCGACGTGCATCCCCGCAAGGCCATTTCTGTGTAGTGTGTTCAAACGCCAGTGCTGCCCTGCGCATGAGCCCAAAGTTTACTCCTGGGGCTGGTTTTCGGTGCTGGCCTGGAAGGAGGGCTTCCTCTAGCAGCGTGCTTGTTTCCAGTGCTGGGCTCGGGAGAGGGGTGGCATGTCCTCTCCCTGCCATACCAGCTCCCTGTTCCTCTCCATCCATTGCTTTGTCTCCGGTGGTGAGCACTTAAACACGGCTGGACACTGAGAGCCAGCTGGGAGCCAGTGCCGTGGAGCGGGGATTCCGTTGGCCCGGGGAGCTGGGAGTGCCAGGTTCCAGGCCCCGCTCGGCCACAGTGGGTGACTTGGGTTTGGTCATCACTCCTCAGCCAAAGCTACTTCTCAGGGTGGTGTGAGAATAAAATGGAGAGGAGGAGGAGCGTGTGACCTGCCCTGGGTTCTTGCAAATGGGAGAAAGGTGGGGTTTGAATGTAATGCAGCAATGAATGTTGCCCTGGAATTTGCTAACAAAGAGTAATTTGTAAGTACCGGCTGCATCTCATTAACTTCATCGAACTTTGCTGCCTGCCTCGCTCTCACCCAGGCTCACAAGGAATCGACACTTACTATTCCCCAAAGATTTTGACTGCGTTCAGGAATTCCACCAGGTCCTGGGTTGGCTTCTCCGCTGGACAGCATCACACGGTGTGCCTGGACTCGGAAGGTGAGTCACTGTGGACTCTGCATCGCATTTGGCAGGCCAGGGAGATGCGTGTTCAGGCGGCTCTCCAGAGTGGGTGGACGGGGGCGGAGGAGCAGCAGCTCTGCCCTGGGTGCAGCTCTGGTATCAAGGGTGGCGTGCCTGAGCGGCTCCGACAGCCCACGCCCAGCAGGCTCCCACCGAGCAGAGCCCCCCGTTCCAGCCCCCAGTTGCTCACCTGCCAGTGGTGGTGGAGGGAATGCGAAGCAGGAGGTGTGAAGTCCTGCCTGCTCCCTGCCTGTCCTGCGAGTGAGTGGCAGGGAGGAGGAAGGAGCGGGAACCGCTGGGGGCCGGGGTGGTCAGGAGGGGTCCCTGTTGAAGATTCTGCAGGCACTGCTGAGCTGCGTCTGTGGAAATGTGGCCGGTGGATCAGTCAGGGCAGGCTGCTTTCACATGGGTGCTGAGGACCTTTCAGGTGGGCCATCCCTCCCTTGCGGCCTGGCTGCATTGCTCTGCTGCATCACTGGATTTTTCTTGGCCGTGGCCAGATTTCCCCTAACGGGGCAGTCTTTCAGCTCGTTCTCTCTCTCTCTCTCGCTCCCAATTTCAAACAGGAACAGTGTATAGTCTGGGCAGGGCCGACTATGGCATGTTGGGCCTGGGCAAAGGAGTCCAAGAGAAGAGCACGCCCACGGCCATCCCTGGGCTGCCCAGAGCATCTTCAGTGGCCTGCGGGGAGCGAGTTGGCTATGCGGTCACAGAAGATGGTGAGTCTGACAAAGCGCTCGGGCTCTGAGCCACTCAGTCTGTAGACTGTGTGGAAAGCGGCTCCGGCAGGCATGTTCCCACTGGAGAGTAGTAATGGCACGTCTTCAAAAAGTACACCCAGCTTCCTAGTTCTTAGACGATGAGGTGGATCTTGGGATGTGCGGGTTGCCGAGAGCTGTTGGCTCAGGTGTTTGAGCACCGGTGCGGATGCTCTCCAGTTCCCCCACCCCAGCAATCTGGCAAAATGGGCCTAGAGCAGGGGTCTCAAACCCGCAGCCCGCGGGCCAATTGCCGGGACGGGCGGCGCACGGGGGGGGGCCCTGCGGCCTTCAAAGCGCTGGCGGCACCCGGGCCGGATGCGGGATGAGCGGCCCAGCACCACCACTTGATGCGGCCCAGCCTCACCCAGACTCTACTTCCAGCGGCCCCCAGGTAAGCTGAGTTTGAGCCCCCTGGCCTAGAGCTCTCTGGGCAGTGTGAGCCACGTTCAGTTTTGGAAGAAAGTGGAATATGCTTCTGTTTTTAGAAAAGAAACAAACCTTGAATTGCTAGAGGTGTGTAGCTAGGGAACGGGATAATGTCATTAAAATCCAGCTTTCCAAAAATTCCGGCGGCATCTGGATGAGGTTATGGTACTCTGTTGGATTGGCGAACGGAGCATCTGGGGTTGTTTGAAATTTCTTGCCAGCTTGGCTGCTTCCATTGCCACTTTCACCAGCTCTTTAGCCTGGGAACATGTATGTATTTGTTACACGCACCTCTGTGTGCATGCACACCGTTCTCCCAAGGTGTCTTACGTGTTTTTCTTCCTTGGGAAATCATTGGAACAGACACCTTATTCCTCTCCAGGACCTGCTGGAATGTGGCCCCCTGAGAAATTCCCTGGCACTGAATTTGGCCCTTGGGCTGAATGAGGTTCAAAGCCATTGCCCTGCAGGACAAACCTCAAGTTGCTTGGTTTCTGCCTGGCCACAGTCATGAGGCTGAGCTCTTCGTATCGCCAACATGTATCCCATATTGTGCAGTGGATCATGAGAGATGCTGGCCGGCCAGAGCATTATTCCAGAGTTCTGTTTGGCCTTGCCACCTTTCCCTTCCTGTTTCCCAGGTCGAGCGTTTGCCTGGGGCATGGGGTCCAACCTGCAGCTTGCCACGGGGGACGAAGAGGATGCCTGGAGCCCTGTGCAGATGTCTGGGCAGCAGCTGGAAAACCGCAATGTTCTCTGTGTGACGGGTGGTGGGCAGCACACCGTCTTACTGGTGAAGGACCGGCAGAGTTGACGGACTCCTTGCAGCCCCCGCGAGAATCGTCCAGGCGTGCCAGCATTTCGAGTTCCCTGAAAGGGACTTGGAAGACTGGCTTCCGATGGCTTCCCGAGAAGGGGAAACTGTTCCGCCTGTATCTGTGGAGGAGAAAATTAGCTGATATAAAAATTACTCTCTCAGATGCTGGGATTTGTTTAAATTCAAAATGGCTTCCCTTGTGGCTCTCCAAAGATCGGTGGTTGGGAGGATACGGCCTTTATTTTTTTTAACTTTTTAGAATCAGTCGACAGATTTCTCTTTTAGAAACATGCCAGTGTCCATCTGCTTTGGCTTTTTATGGGCTCTTTTCCCAGCCTCGGCCCTCGATTCAGAATTGGCTTGTAGCATCAGGTCAGGGGCTTTTCTCTGCTAATCTTGCGACCTTTGTTCCCCCTTTCTCTTTTATGCTTTGTTTTTAAAGGTCTTTGCCCACTGAAAAAATCAGGCGGTTATCCCATCTCCAGCCCTCTGTTTCTCCTGGCTATTGAGAAAAGCATACGTTGCCTCCTCTTTTTAATGTAGGGTTTGGTGCTCATTTCTTTCTAAAGCTTCCAGCCATCCTGGCCAAACAGGATGGGGGATTCAGGAGCAGAGCGAGACGGGGGACTGTGTGTGCGTCCATCTCCACCAGGCTGCTCCCTGCGTAGGGCCTGAGCCTGGCTGGGGCCCACGCTTATTCAGTGTGGATGCCCTGGAGCATTCTTCCCCACTTGGTCCCCCATCCAGGTAGATCTGACCACAACTCCCATCTCTCAGCCCCAAAGACCTCGGGATAATGGAGGAGTCCAGCTTGGAAAGGCTGCCCTGGCTTCTGCTAGCAGCAGGGGGCAGTCTGTGTTCCAGAGAGGGTCGATTCCCCATCCTTTTAAGAATCCCAGATTCCTCAGGTGTAGCTTCCCTGATCAGGTTTGCTGGGGGCGGGTGGTGGCAGGGGGCGGGTTTGGGGCATCACTGCCTCTGCTGGCTTATTTTGGGAAGCCTTCAGAGGAAGGAGCGGAGGGCAAATCCCCCCCCCCCCCGGCAACGTTCTGTAGGTGGTCACATTAATGGGTGGCTGCAATCTTTGGGTTGAGTGGGAATATCGCCCTGACCGTCCAGGTTGCCATCTGTGTTAGCCTCCACCTGTCATGTGATGCCTTGGCCTAGGCAGGTGCCTGCTCCTGCCCCCCCCCCCCCAATATGACACCGCTGTCCACATCTGGCTCAGAGCCTGCTTTCCACTTGCAAAGCAACACTTCCACTCACAGTGATGGCGCTTGAGAACCTCGTGTGTCTAGCAGACCAACTTCAGAGTCTCTTTGTGGTTGCCACAGTGTCCCTTGGCTTGCCACTGTGATTGTCCCGCGCTCTTGACCAGGTAGAGGCAGCCTGGCTGGGACACTTCCTGTTTAAGACTGCACGCTTTTTAAGAAACTGGCTTCCATGGCTGCAGGTGTGGGGCAGGTTTGCGGACTTTCGCCCTCTGTAAAGCCGAGGGAGGAAGGCAAGCCTGAATGCGAGCCATGTGGTATCCAGCTTGCGACGGAGACGGTTGCGCCTCCTCTGATCTCCTGCAGCCACATTCGGAAGGATGGAAAAGTTTTGCGAAGGGCCACCGTGCAGAGAGCGTATAGTGAGGCACGGGGTGGAGGAGGTTGGAGAAGCAAGGAAAGTGAAGCAAAAACATGCTGGTGGTGTTCACTGAAGAGTTTCAAATCTGTAAAATTATAACGTTTGAAATAAATTGAGTTTTGATAGCTGCTGTGTGTTCATCTTCCACAGGCTGCCCTGTAGGCCAAGCTGGGGGGAAAGACGCATGTACCCCTCCAGGCTTTGGGCTGCAGTGGCTTTCTCTGCACTGCTTGGACTCCAGCTCCCAAGAGCCCCAGCCGCTGGCTTATGGGGAACTGTAGGCAATTCTCGTTTCCAAACCTGGGAGTGGGTGGTTTGCAGTGAAAAGAAGGGCCTTACTCAAAGACCATTGAGAAGGCTGGGCCGTCACACGGTTTTCCTCCTTTTTCCTTGCCACCCCCCCCCCAACCCTTTTTCTTCCTTGTAACACCCATTTACTGGTAGGACTCGGGCTAACGTTTAGTGGAGACGGGAGAAAGCATCGGTTGATGCAGCAGGCCCAGCAAGGTAGAACCAAAAAGGCTGCAGAAAGAACGGGCTGAGAAGTCTCCCCAGTGGTGGTGACCAGCAGCGTCTGTGCAATGTTTGTTTCCTTGCCTGAGCTCAGCACAGCCTGCACAAGCAACATGTGCACGCTAACAGTCGTGTTAGAAGAAGAAAAGGTGAGAGCGCTGGAGCATAAAAGAAGATGAGTTTTTAGAGTGTTGGACCTGCAACAGCTAAGAGTAGTGCAGAAGCTAGAGGTGCACCAGCAAGCTGAGGCAGAAGAAGACGATCCAGAGAGAAGGGAAAATGAAACTCCCTGGAAAAGGGTGGCAGGTGGAGAAGAGGCGCTGCACCAGTGGAAGCAGAGGCACTCTGGAGCTGCTTTCAGTGAACGTGGGGGTGAGACTGGACAGCAGCCTGGAGTGGAAGACCTGCCGGCCGTATCGTGGGACACTGAACAAGAGGCTTAAAGTCAACCACATAGTGGCAATGACACCAAGGCTTGCAAAGCAAGAAGAGAACAGTTAGGACATGCCCCCTTCAGCTGTAGCTCTCAGGAACACATGTTTTTCCAAGTAATGTCCTGCTACTGTTCCTGACAACTTTAAGCTAAAATATGTGGGCATCTCCTCTTCTTGGCCATGCCCCTTGAAACGTCAGTTCCATCCATTACTTGAATGTGCTTGGTCCCCAGCCGCTTCTTCAAACTGGAATTTGGTCTTCAGGGTGGAAGATCTTCAGCAGCCCATCTTAAGGAACTGCATCTAAGAAACCGAGGGGCCCTGAAGCAGCCCTTGGGCATCTCCAGTTTCTGGTCTGTCCCATCTGATTAGATTTATAGATTATAGATTTATATATTAATAGCATGAGTAGAGCCTTCCTGGATCACACTGGAGGTCCTTGACCAGCATTCTGCTCTCATCATGGCCAACCAGCTGCCCATGGGGAAACCACCAGCAGGATATGAGTACAAGAGCGCCCTCCTGTCCGTGTCCTCCAGCAGCTCGTGTTCACAGGCATCCTAACTTTAGGACTGGAGGAAGCATATAACCATCAAGGCCAAGTAGATATTGCTGGCCTCCGTGATTTTGCCCAATGTGCTTTTGGTGCCGTCCAGGTTGGTGACCATCACTACCTCTTGTGGAAATGGACTCCATAGTTTGATTATGCATTGTGTGAAAAAGTCCTTCTTTTATATGTCTGAAATCTCCCAACATGGGCTGGATCTACACACGCTTCACAGTAATAGGAAGATGGAACTCTGCTGGGGAAACTGATTCCTGAAGTAGATACATTACATGGACAATCTTCGGTAAAGTAAGGGTGGATTCTGCTTAAATGCAAAGGGATTATGCTTGTCCCTTAGGAGACACTAGCATATCTCCATGGTTTTATCCAATCCCCTTTTGGCGCTGACCAGATTGGTGGCCAGGGCTACCTCTTGTGGATATGAATTTCATCATTTATATGCTGTGTGAAGAAGACCTTCCTGTTATCTGTCCTGAATTGCCAACAAATCAACTATATAGGATGACTTTGGGGTTATAGAATGAGAGGAATGAAAATATCTTCCTGTATAGTTGGCAATTGCCTAATTTGTAGTCCGGAAGTTCCAAGTGAAATTGGGAATCAAAAATCAGTAAAATGGGCCTAGTGCTGGTTTTTGAAGGTCATTGGGAAAGACACCTCACCGGGCTTCCTCCCTCCTTGAGTCTCCATCTTCCCAGCACGCTGAGGAACTTGACTCTTGAATTCATTTTTTGTTTCATTAGAGCAGGCTTACTGATGCTTCTGTTCAGAATGGAATGTGCAGACGAATGCTCCAGCACCGACATCTTTAATGTGCAGAGTACTGCAATTCTCCATGCTGGGTTCTCTTTCACATTTATAAATTGTGTTGGCAAAACCTACACAGTGGTGTCAGCCAAGTCAAAGCACAAATAATAGAGCTTAACATTTTAAATTGGCTTCTTGTTTCTGCGCTTGCCCCGGTGCAACAAGACTAGCCACCAAAGTAATTTCACACTGCAGGGCATGCTACCGGGGGAGTGTGAGCAGCCAAGATTTCTTAAATTACTTTGATCATCTCATTTTAACACAAATTGAAATTGGGTGTTATCTGATGTGCAGGACCTACAGTTTACTGGCGCTGGAACTTTCTAACCCCACTGACTTAGCACTTCTCCAGTCAGTTGCATTCAGACAAGTGGGAGCTCTGGAACAACCAGGATGCACCGAGAGCTGCCTCCTGGGGCCAAAACGAATGCCCTTGCAGCCCGGTTCCACCCCCCCCACGCCCCGCCCTCACCAGAGAGGGGCAATTGCAGAGGCAAACTCCATTTTATGACATGATGGTAGTTCAATTTGGATGAGCCTAAAATGCAAAGCGCTCTCTGTGTGTGCATGTGCAAGCAAATAGCAGAGATCCTCAGATAGTGTTTAAATTTTATATTGATTTGATGCTCTACTTGGTACCTCTTTGCTGTATTTTCTTCTTTGAGTGAATTGTTTTAATTGTTTTGAGAGCTTCAGCTATTGAGTGGTATGTAAATGAAATGCACATGCGCACCCATAAAAATCCGGGGGAGGCAATTGTTCTCATGTCCCGTTTCGGATATGGCAGGTTCAAACCCAGAGCAGCGGCTGCAGGGCACGAAGATGGCGGTGAGCCGTCCGCTCCACAAGGGGAGTCGTGCCCACGGCCTCCCCTGCACCTGCTTCGCTCAAGGATCATGGAATCCAGGCTTAGCCACTGCATTGGTGGCAGCCACTCAAGAGAGGTGTAGGCAGTCCTACTACAGGTCGCATGAGCCACAGCCAGCATGGCAAATTGCAGGGATTATGAGGGCTGCAGCCCAAACCTTGGAGGATCTCTGGTCACCTCATCCTGACCAACAAGGCTCTTCCCGTGGTGCTGGTTATTTTGCGGGCAGCTGTGCAAGAGAGGTCCATGTAGGTTCCGTGGATGAGGGGCCCACCCACCCAAGAGCCTTTTGGGGGCCCCCACCGGCATGGGTGGGCCCCAGCTATGGACTTACCTGCTGGCTATGGAGACTGCCAGACCTCTGGAGCTTGCTCCCATGGTGCACAAGGCTGCATCTCCAATAGAAGCCTCTAATCGCAGGCTTCCGTATTGAACATGTGTTTGTATGTGCAGTGTGGGCGTGCGTGTGCATGCATGCAGCCAAATGCTCCTTGCCCAGCATCCAAAATACACAGCCCAGCTTCCAATTTATCAGGAACAGCTGAGAGTCAGTGACCTGACCAAAGGCACTAATGCTTGTTGGATTGTCTAGTGAGGGTTTCAGTGCGGGAGCAAAGAGGCTGGTGGGTGCTCAAGATGTCCTGTATTCTGGTCTCTCTGGGTCCCTCCCCTTCCCCCAGAATGCCCTTCTCTCCCCTTTCAAGGCCACTTTTCCAGCCTTGGAAAGGCAGCTGGCACACTTCTTTCCATGCAGGCGGAAAGGTGGAGGGGCCTGAGCTCAGAATTGCAGTGCCCCCTTGCAAGTGATCTGTGACCTTGTGGGGTGTACAGGTCCTGAGCTGTCCCCTGGGACACCTGTACACCCATATGAGGAACATAGGATTGCTCTCCTACTAGGCTTTTGACAACTCACATTGATAAAATGATTTTTCAAGGGTTTTTATAAAGTTTGATTTATATAGTTTGTCCTAATGCAAATATTCTTTATAAAAGATTGAATTCTTTTATATGAATTCGTGAGATAAGAATTTAATTTCATGGATCTCAACTGAGTCTTCCCAGTTCTACAGTTTATGTCTGAATTTTGTAGTTTTATGATCTCTCCACAAGATGGCAGCAACACCAAGTTAGAGGTATTTTTTTTGGATCAAATCAAAGCTTGTAAAAAGAAACTGATAAACCACAGACAAGAGAGGCTGATAGCAACAGGCTCCCAGTCTGGGTTTATTTACTGAGACCAATGCTCTGGGACCATGATTTGGAATTAGGAAGTGGCCAAGTTTGCAACTTTTTTAGTGCTGTTAAAAAGGAGATTTTGAGGAGTTCAGAAGAATGGGCATTAAAGTGGCACATATGGTCCAATGTAAGCAAGTATAAAATGATCCAGGATTGGGGGGAAAAATCCCAACTCTGAGTACCAGTTGATGAGATCTGAGCTAGCAGTGACTCACAAAGGAAGGGCATTTGGGGTTGCAGTTGTGGATGAAAATATTGACCCAGGCCTGACTTCCTAAGGCCCACTTGACTTCACATTCCAGGATGTCTGGCTCGAGGTCAGTGAACACGCCATCATGGTTATCAGGGACGTTAAGCTCTTTCTTGTATAGTTCTTCTGTGTAATCTTGCCACCTCTTCTTAATCTCTTCTGCCTCTGTTAGGTCCCTGCCATTTTGGTCCTTTATCATGCCCATCTTTGCATGAAATGTTCCCTTCATATTTCCAATTTTCTTGAAGAGATCTCTGGTCGTCCCTATTCTATTGTTTTCTTCTATTTCTTTGCACTGTTCATTTAAGAAGGCATTCTTATCTCTTCTAGCTATTCTCTGGAATTCTGCATTCAATTGTTTGTATCTTTCTCTTTCTCTTTCTCCCTTGCCTTTCACTTTCCTTCTTTCCTCAGCTATTTGTAAAGGTTCCTCAGACAGCCATTTTGCT